GGGAGGGACGGGGGCTCGGTGATCTTACCCTCCCGTCCCTGGACGAGATGTCTGTGCAGCCCCCTGGGGTGAGGGCCGGGAGCTCAGCCCTCAGCCCCCAGACCTTTAAGAACAGTGCAACTCTCATAGGATTTGAAATCTCCTCATAGAGACGAGGTGCTTTCTCCCTGACCTTGCTCGCTGCCTTGAGCCACCCCAGAGGGTACAATGTTTCACTAACTGGGTTGGTTCTGTATCAGGGAGGTACCAGGCTAATGGGGCTGACCAGCAGTGGAGGAACATTTGAGGGTGACTTGGACAAGCCCTGTGAGGGACAAGGCCATGCCCAGAGGACACCCTGGCTGACTTTTAAATGACCGAACAGCATGTCACTTTGGAAAAAACAGCCCAGTGGCCTAGAGGATACAATGAGGTCTCCTCCCCACTTCCAAGCCCATCCCAAGGTACCATGGCTAATAACTTCTGACTTTTGAGTCTTTAATTTATCAACTTTAACCTGGATCTGACATTAAAAAATGAGGACTGCAGTGGTCAGGGGTATAGCTCAGTGGTCGAGCACTTGTCTGGCATATGCAGGTCCCACATTGGATCCCCAGGACTGAGAGAAAAGAAAAAAAAAAAAAAGACTGTGGCCTATACAGAGTACTTTCCTCTACCTCTCATTTTTGTTAGTTATGTTTACAACATGAACATTTTGCTTAGAAGCCACAAGGAAAAGTTTCACATGTTGCTGTTGATGGATGCTGTAAAACACTGGCAAAAATAACTCATGTTATAAATGACATCTCAAGCCTGTGACTAGGCCCACAGGAAGGGACTTGGAGAGGGAAGGTGGTTGCCTTGGGAAGATGTTTTAGTCAGCCTTTTTGCTGCTGGACCAAAAGACCACCCGGCAAGAACAATTTTGGAGGAGGGAAAGTTTATTTGGGGGCTCATTGGTTTCAGAGATCTCAGTTCACAGATAGTTGGTTCCATTCCTCAGGGTTTAGAGTGAGGCAGAACATCGTGGCAGAAGAACGTGGTGGAGGAAAGCAGCTGGGGACATGGTGCCAGGAAGGAGGGAGGGAGAGAGAGAGAGAGAGAGAGAGAGAGAGAGAGGGAGGGAGGGAGGGAGGGAGAGCGACCACCGGCCAGCACACTATACCCTCACCAGACAAAATATATACCCCCTAGCCACACCCTAATGACCCACCTCCAGCCACAACCCACCTGCCTTCAGTTACCACTCAGTTAATCCCTATCAGGGGATAAATGCACTGATTAGGTTAAGGCTCCCCTAACCCAATCATCTCACCTCGAAATCTTCTTGCATTGTCTCACACATGAGCTTTTGGGGGACACCTCACATCCAAACGTCACATCCAAATAACAGAAGGCTTCCTGAGCAAGCTGGCCCAGCTGAGGGGCCATCTTCTTCCTGTGGCCTTCATCTTCAGGACCTAGAGGTCACCTTGGCCGCCTCCTTCCTGCTGCATCGCTCTGTGTTTTGTGACAAGTTATTCCAGGAGCTTGGTTTCCTGAGGGCACGTGCGAAGTAAAGTTTTGAGCTCCTGCATATCTGAAAATGAGTCTTTTTTTCTTTCTTTCTTGATACTGGGGATTGAATCCAGAGGCACTTAACCACCACACCTCATCCCCAGCCCATTTTTATATTTTATCTAGAGACAGGGTCTTGCTGAGTTTCTTAGGGCCTTGCTAAGTTGCTGAGGCTGGCTTTGAACTTCTGATCCTCTTGTCTTAGCCTCCCAAGCCACTGGAATTACAGGTGTGTGCCTGATTGAAAATGAGTCTTGATGGCTTGGCTAGATGTATGTCTGACTGGGTGTAGAACTCCAGGTCAGCACTTGGACGATGCTGTTCCTGTGACCTGCACAGTCTGGGCTGTTCTTTTGCAGGTAGAACTTGCTCTCAGACCCGAGGATTCTGAAATTTCACTGGACCAGGTCCAGAAGTGGGTAATTTTTCATTTATTCTGATCTGGCCTCAGCAAGCCCTTTTATCCTATTTTTTTTTTTCCTTCCAGTTTGGAGAAATACTACTCTGCTGTCTATTTAAACTTCACATCTGTTCTTAGAACTCCTCTTACACAGTTGCTCAACTTCCAGGTGATTCCTTCATATCTCTTAATATTTTTTCTCTCATTTTCTTTCTTTCTTTTACCTTTCTCCTTTGGTCTTTGGATTCTTTCACTTTTTCTTTTTCTTTTTTTTAACATTTGAAAAGTTGAAGTGTAATTTACACGTAGTGAAACACAGAAATCTTAAATATGCAAGTTGAGGATCTTTGACAAAGGCACGCACGTGCACCGCCCACATTCTCTGCTACGATGTAGAACATTTTCTCCTCCCCTATGTTCTCTCAGAGACTGACTTCTGCCCGCCCAGAGGCAACAGATGGTGAGTCTCCTTGCCTTAGCTCCGTCTCTTCCAGAATCTTACATCAAAACGGGACCAGACTGGACATATCCTTGTGTCTGGCTTCTCTCACTGAGCTTAATGCTTTCACCCGAGATGTGGTGAGAATCAGGAATTGTTCCCCTTTGGTTGCCGAGTCACATTCCCGTGGCGATGGGGATACCATGGGTCGGCTTTCATGCACTTGCCCACAGATGGTTTGGCTGCTTCCAGATGGGGACACGGTGAACGAACGCAGGTGCTGGGAACATGCTTGTGTCCCTCTTTGTGGGCTTGTTCCCATTCTCTCAGTTGGCTCTCCAGGAGGGGAACGGCTGGACACGGCAGGTGTAAACCTCCCAAGGGCTTTGCCCAGCAGCTTGTGTGAGCAGGACTCAATGCCTCTGGGGGCTTCCAACTTCTTCTCCCCACTCTGCAAGACCTTCTCACCTCCAGCCACCCAGCTTCACCTCCTGGGCCTGGTCCAAGAGGCCCCCAGAGCACTTGCCTGCCTCTTCCTGGCTGCTCGGAAGCTGGAATTATCAATCTATGAATCTGGCCCCTCTGGGTGGGTGTGAAGTGGCATCTCAGTGTGGTTTTAATTGGCGTTTTCCTGGTGGCTAAGGAGGCTCAGCACCTTTCAGGTACCACTGCCATCTCTGCACCTCCTTTGGTGAAGGATCTGTGTTCTGTTTTGTTATTGTTATAGGAGTTCTCTATATACGGGGTCCTGGTCCTTTTTGCTAGACACATGTATTAAGAAGAGTTTTGCAAAAAAAAAAAAAAAAAGTAGTTTCTCCATTTTTGTGGCTTGGCTTTTATTTTCTTAGATAAATAATCATTTTAATGAGCGGAACACGATTTCCATTTTATTATCTGAAGATTAACTTTTTTTGTACTTAATGATTTGTTGGATTGTGGAATATCTTATTTTTAAAATAGAGTTTTTTTTTTTTTTAAATTTGCAAGAATGTCTCTTGATTATTCCTTTTTAAATAGAATCTTGCTGTTCTGTATGCATGTCTACTTCTTGGGTCGTTATGGGAACATTAATTAATGTTGTCTTTGGTCCCTGAATTATTTGTTTTTCTGGGGTTGGCCCTGTTGGTGGTTTCTCTTGGCTGTTTGGCGCTGTTGGTGATGGTTGCTGTCTCGACTCACTGCTGAGTGAAGGGGCCCTTTAGGGCTTGTGTTGCCGGGGCTGGGGTCTGGCGGGGTTGTTAATGGGTGCAGCCATCATCTGGGATATGACTCCTTGACAAGACGACTCTTATCACGACCTCATAAGCCACCTCTCCTCCCATGCTGAGGTCCAGCTTGATGTTCTTTGAGGCCTTCTGGAAGGATTCCAGGGTCTTGGTTTGTGTTTCCGTTCAGCTCTGATCTCTCCCGCCATCTATCCAAATCCACCTGCTTTCCGTCTCCCTGAAGTTCCTGGGAGTTTCTCTGTTCTGTGTTCGTTTGTTTATGGTTGCCTTTTGAAAATACACATCTTTTTTTCTCACATTCCCGTGGCTCCTGGGTGGGAGGAGGCAGGCATGGCTTTGGGGGCCTCTTGGTCCAAACCCAGGAGGTGAAGCTGGGGGGCCGAGAGGTGAGAAGGTCTCAGGGTGCTTGCAGAGTGGGGAGGTGAAGTTGGAAGCCCCCAGAGGTCTCGAATTCCTGTGTCTTTGGGTCGATTCTGAGGGCTTGGTGGTAAGAGTCCTGTGAAGGGTTTCGGGAAGGGAAGGGCCAGGTCTAGTGAGTGATAGGGACAGTGAGGCAGGAGACCAGGCGGAGGAGTCCAGGAAGGGATGGCAGCTGCTGGGACCAGTGGGGGCGGGCTAGGCGGTGCTGGGGTGGTTGGACCTGAGGCAGTTGGACGTGGGGCGAGGTCCTGGTGCCCTGCCCCGGCCGTGGACAGAGCTTCTGGACAGGGGACACCCAGCTCACACACCTGATGAAGGGCCCTTTTAGGCAACGGTGGTGTTTGTCTGCTGTCCCCATTTTAAACTTGAGGCCAGTGGATTAGTTCTGCTGGGCTGGCCAGGCAGAGTGGCCTGTGGCTGGGGGGGGGCGAGCTGCCCCCGCCCGCCCCAGGGGCCCCTTGTCACGGCTCCTTCCTCACACGAGCTCTGGTCTCTGGCTCTCGTCAGCGTCTCTTCTGGTCCATATCCTGGGTCTCGAGCCCTTCCTGTGAGTTGTGTATACACGAGGAGCAAACTGATGTTTCATTCTCTTAACAAACACTCAGGAAGTAAATGATGACTGAGGGGACAAGGTCTCTGAGGTGTTTTTATGGAAAAAGCCCCTGGGCTCGGCAGTGGGGGTGGTGAAGCGTCTCTGGCCTCCCGGGATTTCTTTCGGTGGAGGTCCCTGTGCAGGGACTGTGTCCAGGGTGGCGGGCCTGAAGGGCCAGTTGTCATGGACTGCTGGTGGCTCTGTGGGTCGAGAGGAAGATCTGGTTCAGCAGGGGGGGTGTGGCCGAGACGGACCGGGCCTCCAAGGCCTCAGCGTGGCCTCCACCTCCTCCTGTCCCCTGTCCCCACACCTGCTGCACTCCCTGAAGAGGCTGCAGGCCGAGGTCYACCGCGCTGCCCGCCTGGTTCTGTCTGTGTCTCCCCCTAGGACCGGAAGCTCACCAAGCTGGAGCGGCAGCGGTTCAAGGAGGAGGCGGAGATGCTGAAGGGCCTGCAGCACCCCAACATCGTGCGCTTCTATGACTTCTGGGAGTCCAGCGCCAAGGGCAAGCGGTGCATCGTGCTGGTGACGGAGCTGATGACCTCAGGGACGCTGAAGACGTAAGTGCGGCCTGCCTGTGGGCTGGAGTGGTCTCTGTGGTGAGCCAGAGTCATGACTGGAGGGTGACAGAGGCCCTGGACTGCCTGGGGCTGTCCTAGCTGGTGCCTGTGGTCCAGCGTCCTGCCTCTTGGGTTTCCTTTGGGGTGGTAGGCCTCTGTCCTCTGGGCAGTGGGAAGCAAATCAAAGGCCCCCAATGGTCCTTCCTGCATTTGGCTCCCTCTGGCTTCCTTTGACAAATGGGACCTGTCGCCAGGACACAACTGGAAGACTGTCCCCTGTGTGGACATGGGGAGGTTGTTGACTTCCCAGGGAAGCGGCTCATCTTCTGCCCTGTCAGGGGTCTTATTGTGGCTGAGGTCCTGCTTCTGCCTGGGAGCCATCGGCACGTTCTGGTGGCTCAGTGTGCACAGGTGGGCTTTAAAACAGGCTGGACAGCGCTAGGCAGGGCTTTGCAAAGGGTCCACTACTTTTAGGGTGAGGGCTGGAGCAGGTGTCGAGCACTGGACAGAGCAAGGTGGGGTCAGGAGCTCCGTGGCCAGGGGTGGCCTTGCCAGTCCGTTGCTCCTCCCTGCGGCCCTGCCCTGCACTGTGGGCACAGGGGACGTTCCCTCCACAGCATGGGTTCATCTGAATTGTTTTGATCGTCTCAGACAGGACCTCAGTGTCCCTGTGCCACAGGACAGTTCCTTTCACAGGTGGAGGCATGGCAAGGGAAGAGCCCGTGTGCCAGCCGTACCTGCTGCTGTCTTCTAGGGACACCCTAGAGCAGATCACACAGTGGGGAGTTGCAGGGAGGCCTGGCCTTCTTGACCTCTGGCCTCCGTGGTTCCTCTCACCCCAGCCCTCACTCTGAGCATCCAGTGGCTGAGCCCCTGACCTATCATGGTGGCTTCTATGTTGACCTTGGCCCCTTTCAGGGTGAGATCGGGATTGTGCTTGGCAGGGGCTTTACTAGCAAGGTCTCTAGTGCAAGGAGCAAGTGAAGGGTCACAGTCCTGGCCTGGCTGCCTCTGTCCTGGGCCTGGCTCTGGCTGCATAATCCTGGAACGTAACTGCCTAGCCTTCCCCTGTCACCCTAAACCCATCACAAGTGAGTCCCGAGTGCCAGTGGACGGGCTGTGAGACAGGCTGGACGGTACCCGGTGAGGCTTTGCCGAGGGGCCTCTGCCCGTGAGCCGCCTGGTGAGCCCTGCCCCCATCCCAGGTACCTGAAGCGGTTCAAGGTGATGAAGCCCAAGGTGCTGCGCAGCTGGTGCCGGCAGATCCTGAAGGGCCTGCTCTTCCTGCACACGAGGACACCACCCATCATCCACCGTGACCTCAAGTGTGATAACATCTTCATCACTGGGCCAACTGGGTCTGTGAAGATTGGTGACTTGGGCCTGGCCACCCTCAAAAGAGCATCCTTTGCCAAAAGTGTGATAGGTAAGCCCATTTCCTCTCCCCAGGCCCTGGGAGCCCACGTGAGACCCGGCAGCCTTTGAGGGGCCACAAGTATCTGCTTTTGCTTGGCCACCTTGGACTCGTGCAGGAGATCCAGTAGGGGGCATCTGGGCGTGAGGCCTCAGGCTGGGTGACGGAACTGTCCCTCCCAGCCTCTGGGGCTTGGACAGGAGACCTGCCTGGTAGGGAACACACTGCCCGCTCCAGCTGGACATGCTGACTCTGATCCCCCATCTCCACCCTGTCCAGACTCGGGGCCTGGCTGGTCTCTGCAGTAACTCCCTGGCTGTGCTAGGTCACAGCTCTGATCATCTGGTGGGGGTGGTGGGCCAAGTGCCAACTTCCTGTGGTATGTGTGGGTGTGGTGGTCACTTGAGGGAGGGGAAGGGGCACCACCACAGAGGAACTAGGGAGCTTGTGACAGTGATGCTGGGGCTGGTTTTGGCAGCTGGGGAAAGAGGACCCCGGGCTGTGGGGGTGGGGGCTCACATCTTGCTCTGTGTCCACTCCTGTTGGTCCTGGCACTGTGGTGCTCACAGTTCACCAGACCCCTAGAGGGTCCTTGTGGACTTTGGGAAGAATGTGCCTGGAGGAGCCGCAGGAGCATCTCCTTCTGGGAGTCAGGATGCCCGAGGGATTGGGAGAATTCACTGAGGTCCGTGTTAATCAAGACCCAGCCTGTCCCTCCTGCATGAGGGCTGGCTACGCCAGGACAGTGAGTGGCTGGTCTCTGGGCTCAGTGAATTCATGATATTGCTGCACATTTGGGGAAAGAACTTGGCCTATTTGGGAAAATGAAACTCCGGATGATCTCTAGGAACTGCTTTGGTTGGAGCAGTGTGTTTGGACACGGCGGGGGGGGGGGCAGATGCATCTGTCTCTGTCTAGGCGGAGGCCCTTTGGGCACAGGGTCTCTGATGGCCCCAGGGGAGTCGAGTTGTAGGAAGCAGAGATGGACCCAAATCTCAGCTTCTCTGACTGTGAAATGGGTGATACAGGGGAGGGTCTAGTTTCCATCCTGGAGGGGGCAAGTGCTGGGCTGCAGGACTGTGGGTGGCCCGCACCCCAGCTGGGACCTCTGGGCAGTTCCCAGGCTGGTTTGGAAGTGACTCTGGTCTCAGACCCTGGGCTGTCACGTGGCAGGAGACTGCCCTTGGTGACTTGCCTCAGAAGTAAACATTTGGGACAAAGGACATCCCACTGGAGGAAGCCAGGGCACCAGCGGGCTCCTGGGCCTCCACTGACCCGCAAGCTCGTCGCTGTCCTGGGAATGGTTTCGCATGGCGTGAGGCCGTTGAGAAGGAGACTGGGTGTTTGTGGCAGGGGCAGCGAGGCCCTGTGCACAGTGGCCCAGCTCTGCGGGGTGTATCCCTCGTCACCCCGGCTCTTGCTCAGTTGGAGCCCAGGAAGCTTTGACGAGAGGGGCTGGGACCAGCAGTGTCCTCGGCTGCCTCTGCTCATGGGGCTTCCCTGTTCACTGGAGGGAGAAGGCCGTCCTGAGCAGGGGCCAACAGCTGGGGGTGGGCAGGTGGGACCCCCCCAGTCCTACGAATGGAATCCCTCCCCTGGGTCTCTTAGTAGGGCCCCCSTGCCTGTGAAGAGGGGTGTCAGCTCAGGCAGCCCACCAATGTGCCTGCCCTGGTGGCAAACGGGCCAAGCCCTCCTGGAGTCTGTCATCCTGTTGGCAGGACAGCCTCAGGCCACAGGCCCCCTCTCTCCAGGAGGAGGCCCCCCGCTGATTGTCCGTCTGGGGCACCTGTGGGAGCGGTTGATGCTGTGGACCTGTTTCTGCTGTGGCCATCAGGGTTCCCCTGGAAGGCTGAGGTCTGCACTTTAGATGTGACACATGTCAGGGTGGGGGTCAGTGGTCCTCTGGCTGCTCGAGGGGGGAGAGCATCTGGTTTCAGGAAGGCACTGTCCTCATGCCACCCTCAACATCATGACCCCTGCTGTCTGTCACCCTGGTCTCCATCTTTGTGTGCTCTTAGCTGTCCCCAACAGGATTTGATGGCACGGATCTCACAGCCTCACTGTGAGTGTGTTTTCTGGTTTACATGAGCTAGACCAGGCGGGGTGAGGCCCTGAGGGATGGGGGACAGGGATGCAGTCGTGTCTGCTGTCTCCACCTGTGCAGGTGGCCATGTAGTGCCTGGCTCACCTGGGAGGGCTTCCTGGAGGCAGTGACGATGGAACCAGGCCTAGAGAGAGTGAACTGAGTAGGCGGCCAAGGAGAACTGAGGGTGGTTATTCCAGAAAGAGCCAAGTGGATGGGCTTGATGTGCCGGGTGGATGGTGGGAGAGGGACTGGGCTGTTGGGCACCTGTGGCCATTACAAATAAGCACTCAGGGGCTCCAGGCTGTTAAGGACTCCCAGCAATCTCCCAGTATCTCCCAGTATCTCCCCGCGTCCATCTTGCTGGGGGAGAGGGAGGGAGGTTCTGCCTGTCCAGTGAGAAGATGGGCGAGGCCCAACTTACATTAGTTTGGTTTTGTTCTAACATAAACCTTGAGGACAGATAGGGCTAGGATTAGAGCTTCCATTTCCATAGAGGAAGTCATTTGTCATTCAGGACAGTCCCAGAAATAGGCAGATCCTAATGCAGAGCAGTTTCCACAGCTAGAGTCGGGCTCCCTCCTTACCTCTCCTGCCTCATAGCCACAGAGCTGCAGCCACTTCTCTGTTAAAAAGCAGAAGAGAGACTGTGGCCATCGCTCTGCCTGCCCTCTGTAGGAGGGAGTGGGAGGGGGCTGCTCCAGGCGCGGTCTCCAGTGCCTGGTCTCACGGCCACAGCGGGGTTCGGGGAGGAGAGATGGGACCCAGAGTTCACTTGATGCAAAATTTCATCTGTAGAGACCTGAGGGTCTGGAGGGTGTGTAAGGGGTCTGTGGGCCTGGGCTCCTTGGGAGTGGCTCTGCAGCTGATGGAGAAGCTGGAGAGGGAGTGGACTGTCCACTGGACCCACGTGGGTATGAGCACACACGCCCCTGCACACACACACTGTTGCTAAAATTCAGATCTTAATGGCTGCTGTGTGAGGGAAGGAGAAGAGAGCCCCGGCGTCCAGGTGTGTAGAGTCAGGCATTGTCGGTGCCGGTGCCCAGAGTTGGTCCAGCCCCACCCCACCCTCAGAGCCCATTCCCTGGAGCCAGGCCGTCTGGGGTGGTGACGTCTTTCTTGAAGAACAAGGTTCTCCATTCCTTGAGGTCTCAACGGAGACCGAGACCAGGGACCTCCTCGTAGGCCCTGGTGCTGTGTGGGCAACTGGGTGAGTGGGGTCCCTGCATGTGCCAGGGAGTGGCCAGCTCCRCTCCTGGCCTCCTTCCCGCAGCCCTGGCGACCAAGCTCCCCTCAAGCTCTTCCCCGTGGTCCTGCGGTAGAGGTGGCCAGGCCAAGGCCTGAGGGTCCACCCCCTGGGCCTCCTGGCCGGCTCCTGCAGCAGAAAAGGGCTTTGTGGTGGTTTTTCTCTGCCGTCTCTGTGTGCTGTCCCACTGTTGGCGTGGGTGGCACTGTGGGCAGTTGAAGTGGCCCCCGCAGAGCAGGCCCTTCCTTCCTGCAGTGTGGGGCTTCCTGCTGACTCAGCTGCTCCATCTCCTGCATGTTGGGCCCTCAGGGGTCAAGATGGTCCAGGCCCAGGCAGTTGGTGACGTGCCCCTCTGAGGGTAGGTGTTCATGTTGTCACCAGCCCCAAGGCTCAGGCCAGTGCAGTCTGTGACCTCCCTGCTGTGGCTTTTGTGTTGTCCTTGCTCACTGCCCCGGCCTAGGGAGCACATTTACTATTCTGTGACAGGCTTAGGGATGGAAGGAAACATAAAAATATGAACTTAATGAGCAGTRCAAAAACATTTTCAATGTAACCATGTGGTTCAAAAACCCAAGAGGATCAAAATTCCAGTGTCAGGTGCCTCYGACTCCATTCAGCCCCTGCTGTTTCTGGTGGATTCTTCTAGAATGCTGTATTCCTGCATATACACTTACATATACATTCTTGTTTTCCCCACTTTTACCCAAAATGTTAATGTTTTTGAAAATTGAAACAATGCATAAGAGAAAACCCATTATGTGCTTTCTACTGCAATTAATAGGTTTGTATGATTTTACATATGCTTAAAAAAAAACCCAAAAAATGAGGGGCTGGGATTGTGGCTCAGCGGTAGAGTGCTTGCCTGGTGTGTGCGAAGCTCTGGGTTCGATCCTCAGCACCACATAAAAATAAATCAATAAAATAAAGGCATTGTGTCCAACTACAACTTAAAAAAAAAACAAAACCTAGAATGTTATGAAAAATCTTCCAACAAATCTACAGATGTTCCAAGCAGCCTTACTCTGAGGTCTCTTATCCTATATCAGCTCAACACTTAGTCGGACCTGTTTTAATAAAAGGCTATTGTGATTATTAAAGCAAAATCTCATTATAGAAAAAATTTGAAAACCCAGAAATCAAAAAAAAAAATTGAAAATCCAGAAATAAGTAATAGGAAAATCAATCCCCCTATCCCCACCGAGCCATCTGGCTGGGAGTGCTATTTCACGCGGTGAGGCCCTGAGCAGTTTATTTTACAAGCCTGTCCTACATTTCTAGATCCTTAAAGACTCAGTGCCAACACTGTTTGGATCTTACGTGTTTAATACACGGAGCAGTTCCCGTCTTAAGGGCTCTGTGGACCATGCCAGGTAGTTGCTATTTTGCTATCTTTTGCCACGATAGCCACAGGAGCTGTGTGGCGCTCTGTTGTGAGGTGTGCCCAGCAAACCTAGCCATTCCCCTGTTTGGGAATACTTAGGGCCTCCTGGGTTTTTGCAGTTACAAGACATTCTGTGGTGACCACCAGGGTTTGTCTGCTCTGGATTAGTGGGTGCTGGTCAGTGCGGAGCCTGTCCTCAGGGGCATAATATCCACGCACAAGGGAGGGGTGTGTCCAGGGTAGGGACGTGTCCTCTGGGAGGTCATGGTCTCTTAGCTCTGTGGGCAGCAGGTATGCTGTGAACTGATCACAGTGCTGGAATTAGAAGGCTCCAGGTGGAAGTTTTGGAAGCTTCTTCTGTAGAGTATACCTGTTTGAATCATGGGGGCCAGAATGGACCTGGTCGAGCTGGGTGTCCTGAGAGTGCCATGGGGCGAAAGGGGAGGCGGTTGGGTGGCTCTGAGAGACTGAGGGGGCTTCTGGTGCTCTTGGGCTGTGGCCACCTGACCACCGCATCTGTTGCTCCTGGCACAGGCACGCCCGAGTTCATGGCGCCCGAGATGTACGAGGAACACTACGATGAGTCTGTTGACGTCTATGCCTTCGGGATGTGCATGTTGGAGATGGCCACCTCGGAGTACCCCTACTCAGAGTGCCAGAATGCTGCGCAGATCTACCGCAAGGTCACCTGTGTGAGTCCATCCCGCTCTTTGTTAATGGGGATGTGGCCGTGGGTGTGGACCAGAGCCTCAGCTGGCTCTGGGGGGTTTGGGGAAGTCCCCATGGTGGCATAAGAAAAGGAGAGAGCATGGCCATCCTACAGATGGGGACACTGAGGCTTGTCTCCTAGCAACCATGATGGTAATGACCGGGCACCCTAGGCAGTGCTTTGCCTCAGAGGCTACCACACATGCAGCATTGGGGGGCCCAGGTGACAAAGGAACCGAGGCTCAGGAGGCTGAAGCTCCACCAGGGCTCCTGCAGGAGGTATGCCCAGGCTGGCTGTCCCTGGGGGCCCTGCTGTGGCTGCCCCAGGGTTGCTGGCTTCCCCATCTTCTTTGTTTTGGAACCACAGTTTGTTTTCCTTTTCACCAAGCCATCACCCCTAGTGAAGCGTATCTCTGGGCGGCTGTCACCATTGGCCAGCCTGGGAACTTTAATCCCTGTTCTGCCGTCACTGTGATTTTGGAGTTGATCAGATGGCTTCAGCTATCCAAACAGATGGGCCTTGTTCTCCCTCTGTGGTGGCCCCACTGGACGAGGGAACGAAAGTGGAACCTGTGGAGGTGGAGTGGCCAGGCCAGGGCTTTTCGGTGCTGATTTCTGTGCTGTCCCATCTCGATTCTTGTGCTGAGGCCACAAGGTCCGCAGAGCCGCCCCTGACCTTGGCCACAGGTGTGGCTGTCCCTAGAGTCCTCACTGCCTCCGCGTCAGCCTGGGAGCACACAGCCAGAGCAGCCCAGGTCGGGCATGTGACTTGTCCACGCAGCTGGGTGGCCGGAAGGTGGTTCAGCTTTGCCCTCGGCCACCCCTGCAGCTGAGCCCTCTTGGTAGATGGTCCCTGCTTTTCTCCTTGGGCTGTTAGTTCTAAGTCGTCGGTCACTTGATGGAGCTCCTCTGGTGTGTGCTGTGGGCAGCGGTGGGGGAGAGTCTTTGGCTGGCAGATCTCTTGGACCTGACACTGAAGTCCACACGCTGGCACAGAGTTCCTTGAGGGGAGCGAGGGTGGTCTGCAGTGGGTGCTGGGGAGGGTGGGGGAGGGGCCTCTGGGCTTCTGGTTTGCACTGTGGTGGACGGTGGTCTGTCCTGGGAGGGGGGATGGAAAGGCCCCAGGTTCAGGGCTGAGTGTGCTCCTGACTCTGGGCCAGGGGGTGTGTGGCAGACTGGGGTCTGAGGTTCTATGCACATGTCCGCAGGGCTGGGGGCTCCAGGAGCTGAGCTCTGTGTGCACATCTCTCTCAACCTCCTTGCCTTCTCCTCCCTCCCTGTTTCAGTCTCTTTGGGCAAATTTATATTCTATGGTCTTTAAATTAAAAAAAAAAAAAAAAAAAAAAAAAAAAGATCCAGGACAAGGCTTTCAAAAGAAGGCTAAATCTTGTTGTGATAATGTTTTAAAATACTTTTTAATTCGTTTTCCCTGCCCCGTACCCCAAGAGCAGATTGCAGATGAACCCTCGGGGGCCCTGCTTCTGAGATTCTGTTTCTGTTGCGGGGCTGCATTTGTGGTCCCTCGGCACAGGAGCACGTGAGCATTGGCTGGCCGAGGAGCGACTGGCCTCGGCCTGGCCCCAGCTTCCCCTGCCCCTCTGCCTGAAAGTCTCCCGGCCTGGCCCTCAGCCAGCAGCGGTGACCACAAATAGCACTCGGGCCCCCTCCAGGAGGGGTTGTGGGGAGGAATCCCAGGTGTGGTTACACAGGCTTGGTCTGTGGGAAGCGTCACACCTACCACGTGGCTGCGGTTCTTCCTCCCAGATGACGGGGCAGCTGGTGTGGGAGGCCCCGGAGGCTCCACTCAGGGGAGGCTCCGCAGCCAAGCGCTGATCAACACCTTTCCAGAAACTGACTGCTCTATTTGAGGTGTCAACCCCAGTGTCCGATTCTGCAGCACAGGTGGAAGCTGCGTTGTGTGTTGTTGCCAGGGTGATGGTCACCATGGAGATGGGGATTGGGGCCATCAACCTGGGCGGGAGGCTGGGGGGCTGGTGTCTGTGGTGGCTGCCACATACTTCAGCAGATATACGGTAGCTGGAGAAGGTGTCCTCCGTACAGAGACCTAAATGGTAGGAAACCAGGCTCCTGGCTTCCCGCGGTGGGGACAGAGATTAAAGAGTGGATCTCTGTGGCTTCACACAACTCTCTGATCTCTTCCCTGTTCTGCTTTGTGTCTTGCCTGGGGCTAGAGTGTGCTTCATCCTGGGGCACAGAATTTTCATCAAAGTTGGAAAATCTTTGGCCAGCAYTTCTTCAAAAATTTTTTCCTATCCCCACCCCCATCCCTTTCTCTTAGTTTTATATGTGTCATGTGCCTATTTCAACCTTGCTATAGTGTCCCAAATTCTGAAATGAGCAGAACAGAGCCTCTGTGGCCATCTCTCTCTGTACCCCGTTTCTGATGGACCTTGCTGCCATGGTTTCCCCTCTGCACTGTCTGATTGGTGGTTGATCTGCWCCAATGAGACCTTCAATTCCAATGTCATGTTATTCATTTCTGGTCCCTCCCTCTTTTTTTAATTTTATTTTAATATCCATCGTTTCTGTTCCTCATAATAAACATTTTCCTTTAAGATTTATATATAGCTGCAGTGAGTTTTAACCTCTTTGTCTGTAGGTTATAGCACTCTCTCGTTTCTGTTGACCATTTTTCCTGCCTGGTCTTGGGTCACATTTTTCTGCCTCCCAGGGTGTCTAGTAATTTTTGATGGCATGCTGTACATCGTAAACATTACATTGTCTCTGCTCTGGGTGAACTCTGGGAATGGCTCTGCCTACAGCTCCCTGGTGGTTCTCTATCCAACCCTGTGGTGCTGACTATGCATTTGTGGTGTGGTACTAAGCAAAGACTCATGGGGACCAAATGCAGACATCCACCCTCTTTATTCTGCAGAGACCCTCTCCAGAACTCTGCTTTTGGCCTTCTCACCCTCCTGATTTCTGAGCTCCACCTTCAACTCAATGGGACCCCTGCTCTACTGGGTTCTGTGCCTTACTTAGTCTGGGAACTGTCCCAGGCAGTGAGCTGGGCTGTGAGAGCGAGGGCTCCAGGGGTTTCTTTCTCTGAGCCCAGCATCCTGCACCACCTGTCSTCCATCGTCTGACTGTAGCCATTTGGCCTGTTTTGTCCCGTGTCCTTGTAGTCTCTGTAGGGTGAGCCCAAGACGGGTTTTGCTATCCTGCCGGAGGCAATTTCTCTGCAAGGGGTGGAGATGGCGCCTGTCAGCTCCTGAATGGTGTCAGGTGACTCTGCTTTATCCTTCTCAGGGCATCAAGCCAGCCAGCTTTGAGAAAGTGCATGATCCTGAAATCAAGGAGATTATTGGGGAGTGCATCTGCAAGAACAAGGAGGAAAGGTGAGTTCCAGTGCGGTGTTGGGTTCTGGGTCTTTCTCCAGCTGAAACCACTCCAGCTGGTATTTAGAGCCACATGCTAACAAGAGAGAACTTCAGAGGCCAGATGGAYTGGCTCAGGCCACAGCAACACCAGGCTGGGGAGATGGGGGAGGGGGTGGGCCACCCTCCGGCTCAGGTCCTTTTCTGCTGTCTGGGAACACATTCCCATCCCAGCCTCTAGTGTTTGAGAACCTGGGACTTCCCTCTGCTCCTTTTTTTTTTTTTTTTTCTTTTTCTCTAGTTGTTCCTGGAAGTTGTGTCCATTTCTCCAACTTCAGCGAATACCTTTGTGCCTGGGGCTTCCAGATCTGCCTCCGCCCCTTCCCTCCCTTCTGAATTCTGGGCTGCCTATTTTGTGTAATCGGTTGTTCAGTCCATCTCTAAGGCGGCCTGCCCACCTCGGTGGGTTCAGGGAGGCCTGAACCCCCTCATGGCACTGGGGGGAGTACGAGGGGGTGGGGATCTGACTCCTCTGGTTCCACCCAGCGCCAGGAGCGCCAGGTAGGGATGGAAAGCTCAGTGCATATCAGGAGGGGCTTTGTCTGTATAGTGGACAGATTAAAAAAATGAGCCTGTTTTCTTTTTATAATGGGGGAGGAGATGGAAGTCTTCAAATGCAGCGCAGTAGGTGGGTTCAGATGTGGATCAGAACATTTCCTCTTCTCCTGGGAATTAAGGAAGGCAAATGAATGCTGTCGGGTGCCATCCTCAGGCCCACCAAGTAGTAAAGTCAGAGAACTTTCTAGCACAGCCTGCCTAGTGCCCAGCTGCAATGGGTGGCAGCCTATGCCCATGTGCAATATCATGCGTGAGTGTGTGGCCACAGCCCTTTTGTGGATGCAGGCACTGCACAGGGAGCCTGGGCACAGAAGCCCCTKGTCCCCGAGCCCCTGCCTGTGAGCTGTTCTCCCTCCAGGTACGAGATCAAGGACCTGCTGAGCCACGCCTTCTTTGCAGAGGACACTGGTGTCAGAGTGGAACTGGCTGAGGAGGACCATGGCAGGAAGTCCACCATTGCCCTGCGGCTCTGGGTGGAAGACCCCAAGAAGCTGAAGGGCAAACCCAAGGACAATGGTGCCATAGAGTTCACCTTTGACCTGGAGAAGGAGACCCCCGATGAAGTGGCTCAGGAAATGGTAATATGTGGGTACCTGGTGCAGCCTGATGKGCCCAGAAAGTGGGCTCAGACAGGCCGTGAGCAAGTCTGGGGTGCAGGTGGGTGAGAGGCGTGTGGATTCTAAAGACTGGAAGGAAAGCTGCCCACAGGGAGTTTCCCTGGTAGGAGCTGAGTCCTGCAGGGGCGAGAGCCAGACGGGACAAAAGGAGCACGGGCAGTCCTAAGGAGGGGCCTGGGAACCTGGCTGCTGGTGTGTGTGCACAGTGACGGAGAAGCTGGGATCCTCCTCGGTGGCCTCGGGAGAGGGGAGGCTGAGATATAGCATGCGGGAGGAGTCCGACGCGAACAGGGAGAGTGAGCCAGGAGCTGGGACTCTCCAGGAAGGAAGGGCCTCGATTGTTTTGACAAGACTCTTGCCAGATTTGCTTCAGTGGCGATTCTTTTGGGATCTGATATTTTCCCACCTAGAAAAGTGATAGAAGAGCTTAGTTCCCCCCCTGTTTCCTGCTCCCTCCTTGCCACCCTGCCTCTGTCTGCGGGGGAGGGAGAGTGGCCTCTTTCTTCCTGGGGTTCAGGGCTGTGCCTCAGGAACAGGCCTTGAGTCTGCAGGGGGTGAGGGCAGGAGATGGAACCACCAAGCACAGACAGCAAAAGTGGCAGTCCAGGCAGACACAGCTAGAAATAATGATGTAATCATAATTATGCAGAATGTATGGGGCGGGGACAGGTGATAGGGTTTAGAGCCATGAATGTCAGACTGAATTATCTGACTTGATTCTCTGGGCTACGACATCCAAAATGGTAGCTCACATGTGCCTGCTAAAATTGTAGTTTATTTGAAATCTAATTAATTTTCTTTTTTTTTTTTAGTCTTATTATCATAAGATAGGATCCCAACCCATTCTGCACATAATTGTGTATCTGCTGGGCAATTGCAAGTTACTTTTAACATACAAATATGTTAGTCCAGGAAGTATTCCCTTTATGTAGTGAGAGAGTGTATATAAAAGGAACTAATTTGGTTTAATCCATGAGCTCTTTGATGAGGTACACATTAAGCTTCTATATTGCATGTCAAGTACTTTGAATTGTTTCTAAAAGAAACTGTAATACTTTAAAATTAGATATTTTCACATGGGCAAGGCCCTGGGTTCGATCCTCAGGACCACATAAAAAAAAGGGAGGGGGSTGGGCTGGAGTTATGGCTCAGCAGTAGAGCGCTTGTCTAATTAATTTCATTAAAATATAAAATTGACTCTCACTGGCCACATTTCAAGTGCTTCATACACACGGAGCCTGTGGCTCTCACACTGAACAGACAGAATATTTTTATGATCTGTGCTGGGAGGGGCTGTTGAAGTTCATGGACAGGAGGGGGGTGGTCACAGCCTTGTCCAGTTAGGGCTTGTTTGCTGGGTCTTGTGGGCAGCTGACTTCCCAGAGGCAGAGAAGTGGAGGTCTTGTCCTGCCAAGGCAGCTATGGGCTTCTGAGAGCCCTGTGTAGGGCCAGGAGATGGACAGATGTCTGTGTTATTAATAAGATGAACTGACTTAGACAATAAATCAAACAGATTGACAAGAAGGACATGAAAGTCTGTACCAGAAGGAGCAACATCAAGGAAGTCACCAAGGGTCAAACCACATAGGACAGGAGCCCAGAAAGGCCTTGGTTTTGCAAAATAAGAAAGTGGTACATTAGAAATAAACGAGCCACTAATATTTAGCTGGAAAACTGAGAAGGAACGAACCAGTGCAGGAGACCCATCAGCTTGACATGTCTTGCCCCAAAGGCCTTTGTCCCTTTTAATTTGTTTTAAATAAGCTTTTCACTGAACATAGCACCTCTGTTGAGAATGTCCGTGAGTCACGGGTCCTCAGGCTGGGGGTTCCTTGCTCCTCCCGTGAGGAGAGCTGGACATGTCCCTGGATGGGGTTAGGGATGGTGGAGGGGACGCCTCTCTACACAGGTTACCTGCCACAATCCTTGTGGCCCTGCTCAGATGGGGAACCTGAGGCTTGGTAATGCCATGGAAGGAGGGGGTGAGTCCCTTGGAGCTGAGAGGGTGGCTTTGGGAACCTTCTGTTCATCTCCCTGAAGACTCTGCTCCTCACGTCAATCTACCTGCCAGGGCACACCAGGGGTCCGTGGGGCAGTGGGTTTGGGTTGTGCAGTGAGRTCAGGTTTCCTGTAGCCATGTCCCCTGGTAAGGGAAATGGGGTGGGACGGAGCTGCTCCTGGGGTTTGCCACATGGCTCTGGGGTCAGGGTGAACTAAGATCCTGCTGGGGTCCCAGGCTGCAGGGCTGCTGGGGGTATATCTGTGCTACCCTGGCCTCGTCACAACTCCAAGAGGGGTTGCTCCCGGCAAACCCCCTGCCTGAACGATGTGCCCAGAGTGCAGGGCCTAGGCACCCAGGGGCTGGGGCAGAGGCACCTCCTGGGGCTGCCCGTGGCCTGGCTGGGGCTCGACCTTCCTTGTCCAATGGCCCAAGTGCATGACTGAGGTCTTACAGTGAGGGTGAGGGTAGGTGTGACGTCCCACTGTTGGGCTGGAGCCCAGGATGACTTCTCTGGGGGGCTGGCTGCACGGTCACCTCCAGATGCTGCAAAGTCATCACGTATGTTCCCAGGCCCGCCCACCCTCACCTGGCTTGCCTCTGGTCACATCCCTGCCCCAGACATAGAAATTGTTGCTGTGAGTAGATCTCAGGGGACCCGTTAGCTCTGTGACTCCTGGCGGGAGCTTTGTGATAGCACTGTTCAGACGTGATGTGCAGAGGTTCATTTTCCCATTTAACGGTCCAGGTGTACCGTGCACTGCGTTCAGRTGACCACAGCCTTACCCATCCTGGGCCTTCAGGGACACAACTTCTATTCACTAATATGGTACCCCCCGATGCTTTTTATTGCGAATAGTATGGGTTAAGTGAGCTGCATGCCCGGCGTGTGTGGTGTGAGAGCCAAGCTTTGGTGCTGAGGGCCTAGGCTGAGATTGCCCGTCTGGGGACACTGTGCTGGCTGTTGGTGCTGGGCTGTTGGTGACAGAAGTGGGAAGGCAGCCTTTTGGAAGGGCGGGAGGGAGTCTGACAGGTTCTCGAGGTGCTACACTGGTTCTGGCCTTGCAGGGACCCTCTATCAGGACTGCCAGGGGCAAGAATAAGGACTGTGAGTGTCCTGGCTTTCCTGGGGCCCAGGAGACTCGGGAAGAGCAGGCTCACAAAGTCCTCTCATTCCTTCTGTAAGTGAGCCTGTGCCCGGCTGGGGCTGGCCATGGTGGGGGGATGTGGGAGCAGAGCTGGGAGGCCAGGTACACAGGATGGCCAAGGTGCGACAGGGGTGTCGGGGTTCAGTGCGGTGATTCCAGTGCGGTGGGTGCCTCCTGGAAGGTTCCCAAGATCCCACACAAGTGGATTCTGAATGTCTGGGCTTCAGCAGGACCTTCGCCTCCCAGTTTGGCTTTGATGGCCTTGTAAGACAGCCATGTCCCAAACCCAGATGTGCCCTGGCCTTCTTCCCCGGGCTCTGCTTAGCTGTTCCTAGATCATGTACTTCTCAAAACTCCCCTCGTCTCTGTTTGTCATCAGAGAGTGACATGGCGTGCTGCAGGACAGGGACATGGTGCACATAACTGTCACCTCAGCCTGTCCCTGGCACTTGGCTAGACCCAGAGGCTCTGCCCCTGTGTCGGCTCCAATGAGGCCCACCCGCTCCTCTTCCCCACTCCCTCCCTCCCCCACCTCCTGTCTCTTACTGCATATTTTCATCATGAGACGTGCCATCCGTGAAATAGCGCATCCACGCAGAAGGGCATGAGTGCGTCCAGTTACAGAGCAATAACAAAGCCACACACACCCCACCCTGCCAAGGAAACAGAACAGGCCCAGCCTGTGACCAGCTGGAAGCCACTGTTCCCACAACAGCCCCACGCTAGGCCTCGGGGTGGGGGCTGGACCCCAGGAGGCCTGTCCAGCTTCCAGTCCCAGCCTCACCCTCCTTTGCACCCACCAGAGAATCCAGAATCATCACTGGGGGTCCAGCCCCCACCCCTTCTTGGGTTCCTGCCACCAACCCCTGCCTGGGCTGAAGCTGGAGGGGAACTTGCCATGTGGCATTGCATCATGATCTGGGGACACACCGGACTCTGAGACTGCTCTTAACAAACCCAGGTGCAGAATCCAGATGCAGGCTCCTGGAATGAGCTCCAGAGGAGGGAGGATAAGATGGGGACAGGGGGCGGGCGGGGATGCAGATCAGCCTGGCACAGGACGGGGCTGGGGGAGGGAGCAGAGAGGAAGGGTGCCTGGCCCAGCCCTTCAGAACCCCAGGAACGGGGACACGCCAGCCCGGCACTGAACCTGGATGCATTCTTTCCTGTTGGGGAGGAAATAGAAATGCTTTCGTGAGGAAGGCTGGGAGACCCCAAAGACAGGTGGGGAGGGGCAGGCTGTAGCTGTGGTGTCACAGATRACAGAAATAACCTGGGGTGGGCAGTGGCTTCTTTGGTAGCCTCTGGTCCCATAGGTCCCACCGGCTCTGTGACCCGAGGTTACCTGAGGCCTGAGGAACAGCCTCGCCCATGAGCTCTGGGTCCCGCCTAACACTGCCCTGAAGGATCGGTGACAGAGACGCCACCTGCTGATGGGGCTGCCTACTGCAGTCCACATCTGACCATAGTCAGGCCTGTCTGTCCTCAGCCTCCCCATGGAGGTCCCTGTGGTGAGAGTCTGGGGTCCTTGRAAAAGTCCTCTCCTGACTCTAAGGCCAGAAGCCGACCCCCGGCTGGTGCCCTTCTCTGGGAGTAAGGAATGTCCTGGGCCCAGGGAGCTTCCCAGGTAGATTGAGGACCCTGTGCCCACCTCTGGCTTCCTGTCCACTGACCCTCCCCTGGCCATGTGTGTGGCTTGCTCCTGCCGCTCCCGAGTCACCGAGGTCTCTCCTGGGTGTGTTCATGAGGCAGCGTCCTTCTCTCTAGCAGAATTCTGTTTGGAAATAAATGGTTTTGAAATGATCACAAACTCAAGGAAAAGTTGCACGAGGCACTCCAAAGAACTCTTTCCCAGGCAGCGTTGGAGAATAGGCTGCCAACCCCCTGCCTGTTGCCCCAAGTACTTTTATTTCAATTTCCCACAAAACAGAACATWTTCCTGCACAGCTACACACAGTGGTCCCCGTCAAAAGTGCTATCAACACGTCACCACTGTCCCATCATGGGGCTGCTCAGGTCCCCAGTGTCCCAGCAACACCGCCACACACAAGAGCTTCAAACCAGCGTAACGTGTCCCCTCGGCCCTTTCTGTCCCCYGACTTCTGTGGTCTGATCCTCAGGAAGGCTCGGGCAGCCCTCGGGGATTGGCCCTGCTGAGTCAGGCCATCGTGCGTCTGTAGGAATCTCCCAGAACAGGGCTCCTTGCCACAGCCTGCCTGGGGCACACGGTTCTGACGGTCACATTTCCCAGGATGCCGCCCGTGACTTCTSCACGGGGGGTCTCTCTCATCTTGTGTCCCTGGTGTGTGACCTGTGGGGAGGTTCTTTGAAACTATGTAAATGTCATTGTCCAGCAGACTGTCCCCTCGTTTGTCTCTCAGGGACGCAGCCCAGGGTTCTGCTGGACCCCCTAGCTCGTCTCCCATGTCTGAGCTCTCTTCACAGCACACTGCCCCAGTGCCGCGCTGGAAATGCTCTGTGTGGCCTTGAGATCAGGGGTGGCAGTGGCTCAGGGGTCAGCCAGGGCGGGGGGCTCAGACCTGATGGGCTTTCAGAGACCCGGCAGCCTGCCGTGGGGGCCTCGGCACGGAGCAGCGTTGTCCAAGGGAAAGGAGGGGAGGGAGGGAGGGAGGACAGGGACACTCTGTCCCTCACACCCCCCAGATGATTTGTACCAGTCCCATAGATAAAATGTGTGTCAAAATTTGTGGAAATGTCTTTCAGACCATCATTGTATCGCTGTTCATTTGTCCCAGATTTGCCAGTGAGTGACCCTGGCACAGGCGCCTGTGTCACTTTGCAYGTCCCTGTCATCCCCCGAGCACGTCCCCACAGTGGCTCATTCTCATCATTTTCCTGCCCCGCCCTGAGTCACTGGTCCTTGCCATGGCTCTGGTTTCCTATTGGGCTCTGGGTGTTGCTCCCAGGCCCTCATGGTGGACAGAGCTCACCAGGACACACACCCCCCACACACACACACCACACACACACACACACACACACACACACACACACACACTCACACACACACACTCTCGTCCTTTGCGCATGCTTGTGTCTTTGTGTCTGTTGTATAGTTGTCACCAATAGCTCCAGTTCCCACCAGCACCACCAGGTCCCGTTCCGGATTCCTGCCTTTCCATGGTGAGGAACCTGGCTGCCCTTGTTCCTTATGTAGGTTCTTGTGGGTCAGCGCTGCGTGGTCATAACCTCCAGCCATGCTGCCCACCACCTATGTGCTTCCATCCACACTGCCCTGGTCCCTGTGCCAGGAGACCTCTGTGCACACTGCTCCCTCCCTGGGAGGCGCAGCTTGCCTCGCCCCACCGTCTCTCAGTGCTGAGGTCTCAGGAGGGGAGAGGGGGCCCCCGTGGACTTGGAGTGCTTGTGCTGACGAGTGTCGTGTGTTGCAGTCACCACCCGCAGTCCAGCCAGCAGCCCCTTCAAAAGGAGTCTCTATTTTTGGAAAGTGGCTTTGCTATGAATATTCTCTGCAAGCTCACGATGCTTCCTGGAGATCTCGGGGCTCTTTGACAAATGTGCTCAAACACTCTGTGTGAAAAATGTGTCTTAGGATTTTGCCAAGCATCAGTGCACACTATTCCCCTCTCAAGTGACAGAATAGGCCTCTGCCTTCCAGTTAGAAGGCAGGTCAGCACACCTGCTCTGCACCAGCTGTGGTCCGGAAAGCAGGGCCCTACAGATTCATTTCAAAGCTGGGTGATTGTTCCCGGGAAGACGAGAGCATCCTAAGAGGAACCACTCAGGTGGGAGGTGAGGGGACCCTCGGAAGAGCACCCCATCAGCAGGAGCCCACAGGGCAGGTGGCAGGGCTAGCCCCCGGTGGTGGGGCACACGTGGGGGTCAGCTGGTTCCCAAGGCACTGACAACGTGACTGCCTCTGCAGATCGATTCTGGATTCTTCCACGAGAGTGACGTGAAGATTGTGGCCAAGTCCATCCGAGATCGCGTGGCACTGATCCAGTGGCGTCGGGAGAGGATCTGGCCTGCGCTGCAGTCCCAGGAGCCTAAGGACTCAGGCAGCCCTGATAAGACCAGGGGTCCGCCGGCCCCCCTGCAGGTCCAAGTGACCTACCATGCGCAGGCYGGGCAGCCTGGGCAGCAAGAGCCCGAGGAGCCTGAGGCTGACCAGCACCTCCTGCCTCCGACACTGCCTGCCAGCGCCACCTCTCTGGCCTGTGAGTACATGGAAGAGGGTCACTGCAGCCAGCTGTGAGACCAGCTGTTGGGCGGGGAGTCCTCACCCTGTATTAGCAAGCTTTGTAAGGAAATCCAGGTCGGCACAGTGGCAGGCTAGATAGAGTGTGGTCTGGTGAGCTCCGTACTGTCCTGGTGCGGCTGGATTATTGCTTCCAGCTGTAGGTGGTCCCAGGGGCTTGGCTGGAACCGTGTCCATGCCAGGCTCACTTCCTGCCAGCCTTCCYGGCACCTGGGCACATCATGGTATTTGGAAGGGGTACGTCCCTGGGTGGTGGCAGATGATCCATAGACTCCGGGACATGCAGGCCTGATTCCTTCACCTCTGTGAGCCTGTTCCCACCGCCTCCCCCGTGGACTGCAGAGGGCAGATGCAGGTTTGCACTGTTCCAGGGGAAGGGCTGGTGGYGTTTCCTGCGTTTCCCGGTGACCTGTGACCTGAAAGGCTTTAAGGCTCCCTGGAGACTTGCTTCTCAGGGCAGATGGGGTCAAATCTGCCCCAAGCCTCAGACCCTGAGGGAGCCAGTTCAATCCCAGCTCCCCACTGCGCACTGTGGACTAGCGGCAGATTCCTTACCCTGCCTGAAAGCAGTCTGGGCCTCATGGGGGGTTGTGCGCAGTCACCTGCTCCTTGGAGAGGACTCTGTACCTCACCTGGAGAGCACAGCTGTCTTGGCTTGGGGCCTTTGAAACCAGGATTATCCGATGTCTCCAGGGGTAAAACGGTAGCCCTTTTGAATGTTTTCAAGCAAGCATTACCAATGAATTCGGAGTCCCTTTGAAACAGGCTTCATCAAAGACCACTTTGAGAGGATCTAGTGTATTCTGCATGACAGGCAGACAAGTGTCCTGTGTTCACCGTCAGTGTCTAAAAACTCAGCAGTGAGCTGGGGCGGCGGGGATGTGGCTTTGTCCACTATGTGAATTGGCCTGGAATAGAATTACAGATTCCAATGACCTGGCCAGGCCAAGATTTCAGGTTGCTCATGTGGAAAGACAGAAAGTCTGTTCAATTTGTTTAACACGCACATTCTTTATTTATCATGAAAATAGCTAAAAATTCTTCTAAGTGGGCTGTTTAAATTCACTTTGAGGGAGTTTTCCTGCTGCTGACTTTAACCTGCTCAGGTTTGCTTTGGAGAATAAAGTAGCTACATCATTGCTCCATTTTTTCTGATAAATCTAAAAAATCAATTTAAAAAGCACCATTTTCTGGGGGCGGGGGGAGAGGTCCCCGATCTGATACACCACCACAAGTGCCCCACACTTTACCATTGTAGTTGGTTAAAAAAATTTCTAGGATGGGAAATAAAAGGTCTCCATTTGTCACACTTTGAAAAGCCCCAGATTGGGACCTAGAAATATGTTCCCCTCGATGGTCCAATGTTGTAAGTCAGCTTTGATCGGCTATGAGAAAATCCATCAGACATGTTGAGGGGCTGGTCAGTGCACATCAGGTGCAGGTCAGTTTAATGCCCTGAGCACCTCTCAAGGTGCTTGTACTCAGTTACTATGATTTCTTTAAAATAGGTGATATGGTCTCGGAGTATAGAATTCAGAAATTCTTTTTTTTTTTTTATTGATTAAAAAAAATTAAATAACAGGGCTGGGGTTATGACTCAGCAGTAGAGCCCTCGCCTGGCATGTGTGAGGCCGTGGGTTTAATCCTCAGCACCACATAAAAATAAATAAAATAAAGGCATTGTGTCCAGCTACAACTAAAAAATAAATATTTAAAGTAAATAAATAAATAAATATGACAGAGGAATGCATTACAATTCTTATTACATGTATATAGCACTATTTTTCATCTCTTTTCTCTGGTTGTATATAAAGTATGTTGACACCAATTTGTGTCTTCATACATGTACTTTGGACGATGATATCTATCACATTCTACCATCCTTGCTGATCCCCTGCCCCCTCCTTTTCCCTCCCACCCCTCTGCCCTATCTGGAATTCATCTATTCCTCCCAGGCTCCCCCTCCGTATCCTACTCTGAGTCAGCCTCCTTATATCAAAGAAAACATTCACATTTGTTTTTTTGGGATTGGCTAACTTAGCATTATCTTAGCATCATCTTCTCCAATGCCATCCATTTACCTGCAAATACCATGATTTTATTCTCTTTTATTGCTGAGTAATATTCCATTGTGTATATATGCCACATTTTTTTTATCCATTCATCCACTGAAAGGCATCTAGGTTGGCTCCACAGTTTAGCTATTATGAATTGTGCTGCTATAGACATTGATGTGGCTGTGTCCCTGTAGTATGCTGTTTTTAAGTTCTTTAGGTATAGTCCTAGGAGAGGAATAGCTGGGTCAAAWGGTGGCTCCATTCCCAGATTTCCAAAGAATCTCCATACTGCTTTCCGTATTGGCTGCACCAATTTGCAATCCCACCAGTAATGTATGAGTGTGCCTTTTTCCCCTCATCCTCGCCAACACTTACTGTTGTTTGTCTTCATAATAGCTGCCATTCTGACTGAAGTGAGATGATATCTTAMAGTAGTTTTGATTTGCATTTCTCTAATTGCTAGAGATGATGAACATTTTTTCATATATTAGTTGATTGATTGTATATCCTCTTCTGAGAATTGTCTATTCAGAATTTAGAAATTCTAAGAAGATGTATACTAAGTCACCTAATCGTCCTCCCCAGGCAAGGGATGCTCCAAGTCTTCTGACTGTCCTTCCAGAGATAATCCACACGTGTAACCCACCACACATGAGGACACACAAATATCCATGCAGATACACACATATGTGCGTAGTGTCATACTCACATGCATATGCACGTATGTGCACAAAATGCCTGAGTGTACAGACACATGCATGGCCCCCATATGCACATTGACATGTGCACACACACGCAGACACGGATGCCTACCCACCCCATACAGAGACACACAGGCACATAGATACAAACACGTGTACATCCCTTATGTGCCCTCTTACATATACACGTGCACATACAGGACCACGACACATGTAGATATGCACGTGTTTATGTGGACATATGTGAACACACGCACACCTCTGGGTCTCCCTCTGCCCTCCAGTGGATGGCACCCTCACATACTCTTCTGCATTTTGTGCTGACTGTCCTGTTTTCGCTCTCCCTTTGGGCCACAGAATGTTCCACATTGGCCAAATGTGTTCTCCATGATGGGCAGACAGGTGTCCTGTGTTTGCTGTCAATGTCCAAAACTTCCACAGCGAGCTGAGGACGAGGGGATGTGGCTTTGTCCACTATGTGAATCGGCCTGGAATAGAATCATAGCATCTTGTGACCTGCCCAGGCCATTTGTTTCAAGGGGACCTGACAGGGACACCAGACAACCTGAACATCATCTGAGCAGAACCTGCAGGTAGCAGGATTGGTAAACAGATGCTCATTTCTGTACTGGAATGCACAACACCACGTCACCTTTCACGATTCTCCCGCGTGTCTTCCCTTCGCTACCCACCAATAGTCCTGATCAAACTCAGTGGGAGGGCTCCTGCCATCACGAGCCTCCTTGGAAGCCGAGGACCACAGCAGCGCCATCTGTCAGTGGGCCCCAAAATGATTTCTAAAATTAATTTTTTGATTATACAAGTACTAAACACAGTCACTTTCAGAATCTAAAATGTTACACACATGGTTAAAGTTGCTTCGGTTGCAACGTATTCAGGCTGTAACGGCCTCCTCCCTCCCCCTCCTTCCTCCTCCTCCCTCCCTTCCTAAGTGGCAATGACCACTTTAATGACCAGTTGGCTCATTAAAAATCAGAGCTGCTTGTCTAATTGGTTTTGCCTAATTAAACCCCAGTGTTCCTCAGGTCTTCTTAAGGTTAAATAGATTCTAAGCAGTCCCTGGGAAAAATTGCAAAGCCAACCCGACTTCCCCTTTATAATGTCAGTGGTCACTCCCAAATGTGGCTTCTGGTGAAAGTAGCTGTCTCTCTAGGTGGCATACCTGTGGAATCTGGAAGCAGTAAATCAAAAGTGCCATTTTCAGACCGGTTTTTTTTTTTAAACAGTTTATTTTTCTCTTATTTATTTTTTTATGTGGTGCTGAGGATCGAACCCAGTGCCTCACGCATGCAAGGCGAGTGCTCAGCCACTGAGCTACAGCCCCAGCCCCCTTCAGACCAGTTTTTGATCTCCACTCCTGACCTGGGTGACCCTGCAGCAGGCTGTCTTCCCAGGCACGTCTTGGCGARATGTGCTGGTGGATCTGCCTGTGCCATCTCGGGCATCCAGGGAGGACGGGGCCAGGCCAACCTGACCCACAGGAGGTCAGCCTCTGGGTCGCCCAGCTGGAGCACTGGACCCCCTGTGCTGCCCCTGCCTCCTTGTCTCCTGCATGAAAGAGGCGGGTAAAGCCCCCTCTCCGGGCCTCTCACTGAGACATGGAGGGTTTTCAACTCCTGTTTTCCAACTAAATTAGATATGGTCTGAGACCCCCATGTTCCCTGTGCAGCCCTGGGCCCTGTGTGTGAAGGTGATCAGTCTGGAAAACCCCAGCCCCTTATAAACACAGCGAGAATCGTTTTCCTCCACAATTAAAACATTAGCTTTTTCTTTACAAGGACATTAGCTCAACCTTCTAAGCCACCTGGTGCTGTTGAGGGCGGGGATGAGCTAGTAAAGCGTGGCGGGGTCTGCATCTGTGGGACAGGGTGGGGGTGGTGGTGTCTGCTTCACAAGGGTGTCGGTGAGACACGCCCAGCCTGGCATCCGTGCTGTGTTGATAGCAGGCCATGTCAGGGTCAGGCACAGGTTCAGCCCCTGCGGCTCTGTAGCAGTTGATCATTTAAACAACATGCAAGTATGATGTATGTAACCTGGAACAACCACCCAGCCTTTGTCTTGCAGAGGAGAATCTACAGATGAGCCACCTTGTGCATGGGGGTAGTGCTGTGGGGGTGGCATTCAGAGGGTCCTGCTAAATCCTACCTTTGTCCTCCCCAGCGGACAGCACCTTTGACAGCGGCCAGGGCTCCACGGTGTACTCAGACTCCCAGAGCAGCCAGCAGAGCATGGTACTGGGCTCCCTGGTGGACGCTGCTCCACCCCTGGCCCCATGCGTGTGCAGCCCCCCTGTGAGCGAGGGACCTGGCCTGCCGCACAGCCTGCCCTCGCTGGGGGCCTTCCAGCAGCCCACTGCCACGGTGAGTTGAGAGCCACCCCTGCCCTGTCCCCTTGGCCTCCTGGTCTGAGGGCCCTGGGGGATCCAGTCATGAGAGCCATCTGGGCTGCACTGACTCTGGTCAGGGTTAACGTGGCCTATGATCAGTTCTCAGCCATGTTTTCCCTGGGGAGACCCCCAGAAGCCAGCCATAAAAAGCCCTATCTTTTCTGGGAGCAATGGAACCATGGGCCATCTAGCCTTTGACACACCCACATGACCAGGCAAGAGGGACATACTGTCTGGAAACAGACCCCAGCGGGCACCAGGGCTGAGGGAGCTGTGACAGAGCTGACAGGCCACACCTTGGGGCAGGTGCTGGTGGTGATGAGGCTGACACACCCTGGGCCTGGGCCATCTTCTCAGACTGCCCCCCCAGAGGTGAGAGCAAAGCCTCGTTTGTAATAATGAAGCCCTAGATTTGGCCTCGCTGTCCAGCCTCCCAAGGGGATGTCCAGTAGTTCCTGGCATGTCTCGCCCACGGCAGCCACTGAAAATCAACGATGAAAACAGGGTTGAAGTGTGGGGAACACTGTCACGAGAGTCTGTGAGAAGGCAGGGCTTCAGGACGGCAGGACGGCTGTGATGTGTAAGATCTGGGAAGCTGAACACCAGGGGGTCACACGGGGCATTTATTTTTGATTCTGATTTTTTTTTTTTAAACATTGAAGGAAATTAAACAATTGCTTGTTTCACAGCCCAAGTGCTCAACCGAGGAGAATTTGCCCGTGACCTGGGCAGCGGAGCCAAGTCCTCAGAGGGAGACTAGGCCCCTGCCCTGTGCGTGGGCTGTGTCTTTGCCCCTCCCCTGAGAGCTGCCTGGCTGGTCTGTCACTCCCTCACACTAGTCTGCCACCACGTCGTCCTCCTGGCACCGGCAGAGCGTGAGCACGGCAGGCTCTGCCCCCTGCACATGGGTTCTCCCTGTTGGCTGCGGCCTCTCTCTCCCCTTTCTGTCCACGCGGGGCTGGGCTGTCAGAAGGGCCCAGGTCGTCCCYTTGGAAAAGCAGCTGAAGCTGCTGGGCATGCCTGCCTTGGCTGCCGGGAGTCCCAGGGCTCATTGTCCATTTGCATTTGCAATTTTGCTCAATTCACAAAATGAAGTATGATTTTAAAGGGCAGAAAGAGCTCATTGAAGAGAAGACTCTTTGCAGCTCCCGAGGGTTATTCTTGTGAGTGTGGCTGAAGCTGGGGCTGAGCCAGAGTGTTCCATCTGGCTCTCATTCTTTCCTGCCCCTGCAAGGGCTTCCGAGAGCCATAGGATACACTGGCTGCCTAAGTCCCCGCTGGGCTAAGTCTGTCCTGTGTGTCCTTGGTGTGGCAGCTGATCACGGCTTCAGTGTGTAAGCTGGGAGGCCCGAGGCGGGAGGCCAGAGTTTGTTCTYCTGCCTCCCTTCCTATTGATACAGAAATACCTAGCAGAAAGAGTAGGGCCTGGAAGGGTTCCTCCTGTGTGCCAAGGGCTGGCCCCTCCCTGTTGGGCCTTCCTGGGGATGGTTGCCGTGGTGATGTGCCCTGGGACCCAGTAAAAAGCAGAGAGGGAGGAGGAGGAGGAGGAAGGAGGGCCACCAGGAGTGAAAGGCTGCTCACCGGTCCACAGCCAGCAGACCTGCCAGAGCTCCCAGGCGGTGCACCGTGGCCAGGGCTGCAGGACAGTCTGGCCCACTTGGGCACGCTCATCCGCTCTGTGAATTCATCTAGCTGAATTCAGATTCGAGGCTTGATCCCAAATCAAGCTGCTCTTTCCACCACACCCCCCACTGCCTTGCCTAAAGCCCTGCTGTGAAAGACAAGCCGAGGGCAGCTCTGGAAATCCCCATCCTCCTGCCATCCAGAGAGTGGCAGGCGACATTCTGCAGAGAGCAGCCTTGCTGGTCTCCCGTTCAGACTTCCTGTAGCCCCACCCGCTTCCCCTTCCCCGGTGGTGGAGGAAGTGCAGGCAGTGAGACTCTTTCCTTATAAATATTCCAGTCTCTCTCTCTGCACAGTAAGGGCTCTTAGAGAACAAACTATAACCACGTCATGACACCAAAAAGGAAAAAAAAAAATTAACACATTAGCAGCAACTGCTTAATGACACCCCGGGGCTCAGGTTTCTGATCCTTTTGCTGACCCATTTAGCCAGTGGGGCTGACATCCTGTGTGCGGCCTGTGTGTTTCTCTGCTCCTGTAGCCCAGCCTAGAGGACCCTGCTTTGCTGAAGTCCCCACTGTGCCAAGTGTGCTGCGGGCACCTGGATGGCCTGTTGCCTTCCACAGCGYGCCAGCACTGTTTGTTTTCCTTGCTCCATGTTCTATCTGAATTTTCTACATGAATTCATTTTCTGTGTGCTGAGCCAAACAGATGAGACGCTTCCCCACCCCATGTCCTAAGGGGCCCTTCTCTTTGCTTCTGAAAAGCTTCTGTGGTGATCTTTTCTCACGGTTGTGTAATACTCCATGGGGTTAATGTTCCAGAACATTCACTGGCTGAGAGCTGTGGCTCTCCACGGCTTTTCAGTATGGTGAGTGACACTGCAGGACTGCCACACCTGCTTTCTGCTGAGTCACCTTCCTGGAAGCAGGGTCCTTAATGGGGCCGGGCACCAGGATGAGAGGACTGAGGGGCAGCCACCGAGTGTGACCCTGGTGCTCTCCACAGCCGGGCCTCTCCGTGGGCTCTGTCCCAGCCCCTGCCCACCCTCCACTCCTCCAGCAGCGTTTCCCAGAGCCTGCCATGAGCTTCGCCCCTGTGCTGCCGCCACCCAGTGCCCCTGTGCCCGCAGGCCCAGGCCAGCCTGCACCCACCGCCCAGCAGGTGAGTGGGACTCCCCCTCACAGCCCTGGAAGCGTCCCTTGTAAGAGGTGGTGTGTGTGTGTGTGTGTGTGTGTGTGTGTGTGTGTGTGGCATGTGTAGACGTGACTGTGTGTCTGCATGAGTAGGAGTAGGGGCGTGGAGTAGTATGTAAGTGAGCGTGAGGGTAGGCGTGGGCTGCTGTGTGTCTGAGTCTGCAGGGTAGGCCCTGCCTCAGCTGGTGGTCGAAGGCCCTGCCTCTCTCCCTCCAGCCTCCTCCAATGGCCCAGCCATCGGCCCTGCCACAGGTCCTGGCCCCACAGCCTATGGGCACCATGCAGCCGGTGCCCCCCCACCTGCCTCCGTACCTGGCTCCGACCTCCCAGGTGGTGGCCCCTGCTCAGCTGAAGCCCCTCCAGATGCCTCAGCCACCCCTGCAGCCACTCGCTCAAGTCCCTCCACAGGTACTTCTGGGCGGGCTCTCCGCAGTGTCTTAGGGCCTGTCCATCCTGGGTGGGGTTCCGGGGCACCTGCAGGGCCCGTCTGCATGCCATCCCTGTCTGCATGCCAGGATGGGGAGGCGGGATCAGAAGGGTTGGATACAAACTCCACATGCATCAGCACCGTTCTGGTGACTAGCGTGGCAGACCTGGGAGTGTGGAGGCAGCCTCCGAGGGCAGGTTGTCCTCTGTGCCCTCTGGCCTCACATTCTCCCCATCCTATTAGGCCTTCCTTCCAGACTGAGATGCGTCTGGGTTGTGATTGGCCAGATAAGGGGTCTCTCCAGGAGGGGGAGGTGGCCCTCACTGCACCACCCAACAAATACCCAGTCTCAGGTGCATACAGGTTCTGGAAAAGTTTAGTCCAAAATCAAGGACAGGAGTCACAATATGGCTACCAAGTGGATTTGGAAAGCAGATGGCTTGCTGCAGGTGACTGTCCGCCTGAGGTGTGACCCAGGGCTGGGCTAAAGGTGGCTCCTTGGAGGTCTAGTGACCAGCTGGATGACACCACTTCCTGCAGCGAGGGCTGGTTACTACAGTCCAACCTGAGGAGCAGAGGTGACCTCTGGTGTCTTTCTGTAGGGATACTGTCTGTAACTAGGGGCACATGATAGCATGGCCAGTACAGCGTGTAGTTGGGGTTGGGCACCATTGCTCAGGCTACTGGACTCCATGATCCCAGTCATTCTAGAGACCCTCGGTGGTGATGGGCTATGACCTTGGTGGTAGGACAGGAAGTGGCCTTCATTCTGAAGATGGCGGTTCCTGCCGGGAAAGGGGTCTTCCTACAGTTTGCCCTCCCCCTGAAGATTCTCTTGTCTCGGGTATCTTTGTGATACCATGTTAGAGCTGGCTTAGGGTTCTAGTTAAATCATCTTCTTGCTCCTTGGTGGTTTGTGGTGTTAAGTTGCTTTTCAAAATAGAAATTGATTTATTCCTATTTGCTGCCTTCAAATGAATTGCAAGAAGGTGCTCGTTGTGTGATGCAAGAAGGCACCACTATGGAGAGAGGTGTCAGGGACTGAGGGCTGAGATCAGATACCAGCCTTCTCTGGGAGGTGCCAGAAGACTTAGAGGAGGTTCCGGGGTTACTGCTGGTGTGGGGGTGTGGCCTCAGCCCGCCACAGGGGTGTGGAGGATGATTCTACTGAGAACCCTCCAGAAGTTAAGTTTCCATGGGAATTTTCACAGTTGAGGCATCAGCCTGTGATTCCCGACTCCTGGAGCCCGTCTGAGGCTCTGAGTCTCAGTCCTTCTAAGTGAAAGATTCAGGGTCCGTGCCCATAGGTCAGGGTCACTCTTGGGCCCCCTGTTTCTGAGCCATCCCTGATTCCCTCAGAGTCCCCCGTGGGCCCCCAGTGCCCGTGCTGGGGCTGGCAGATTTCATTTCTCTGTGGCGTTTCCCGAGCTGGGGTTTCCCTTGCCACTGGGTGTGTTTGGGGGAGCCCTTCCAAGCAGCTGCAGGATTGCGCCTGAGAGGCGGGGCCTGCTACTGTCCCAACGCTGCGGGGGACCCCTGGCAGCCCTGACTAACCTGCTGTCTGCGTCTCTTCCAGATGCCTCCGATGCCTGTGGTCCCCCCCATCACGCCCCTGGCAGGAATCGACAGCCTCCCTCAGGCCCTCACTGACCTGCCCACGGCTAACGTGGCTCCGGTGCCGGCCCCTCAGTATTTCTCTCCCGCCGTGATCTTGCCAAGCCTCACCGCGCCCCTCCCCACGTCCCCGGCCCTGCCCCTGCAGGCAGTCAAGCTACCCCATCCCACCGCGGCGCCCCTGGCCGTGCCATGCCAGACGATCGTGCCAAACACGCCAGCCGCCATCCCTCTGCTGGCTGTGGCCCCTCAGGGGGTGGCCGCCCTGTCCATCCACCCCGCTGTGGCCCAGCTCCCGGCCCAGCTCCCCACCCCGCCCGTGTACCCGGCCACCTTCCCGCAGATGGCCCCCGGAGACATCCCGCCCTCCCCCCACCACACTGTGCAGAGCTTAAGGGCGACCCCGACCCCTCCGCAGCAGGCACCGCCAGCCCCCCCTCAGCCCCTCCAGCCTGGTGTTGTCCACCTGCCCGAGCAGGCTGCTCCAGTGCCTGCCTCAGGGAGCCAGGTAATACACCCCTGGGGCCTCGGTCTGCCTCCCAGTGCCCGCAGGCCCTCGCAACACTCACTTCACTGGGCCCTGGCTTCCTCTGGGCGTTGGGACTGAGGGGCAGGTTAGGGMTGGGGAAGGAGGCATCTCTGAGATGGGTTGCAGAAGGAGGCTAAAGACATCATGGGGCATCAGTTGTCACCTTGGGAGCCACCAGCATCAGGGAAGCATGTGGGTTCCTTTGTCCCACCTGACCAGGAGGTGGGCAGCTGCTGCTCATGTGGGCATGTGGGTTCCTTTGTCCCACCTGACCAGGAGGTGGGCAGCTGCTGCTCATGTGGGCGAGGACACCCTTACCCTCCCATGCTGGCTCCATTGGCCCTCACTGGTTCCTCTATGGGCTCCAGGCTCACATGCATCTGGGGTCAGCCCCTCCCAAAGCACCGTGTCAGAGCAACGCAGGGCAGACGTGCTTCTGCTAGCAGAGAAAGCTGGGCCAAGAGGTGAGGGGTCTGGGGTCTGACGGGCTACCACCTGAGAGTGGACCTGATAGGACCCAGTGTCAGGTGGGGACCCCTTGCAACCCGGCTAACCGCAGAGAGACCCTGTGGTACACAGGGACAGAAGCCCTGCTATGACCTGGGTAGCTTCGCAGATCTGCACAGCACACTTGCATGTGGAGCTTCTGGGTTATTCTGTTCAGATCCAAGTTGGGGAAGAGCTGATATGGATGCATCCACTTGGGTACCCCACCCCGTGGCCCCCACCTGGGAACCCCTCACCTGGAATCCTCCTGTGTGGGACCCTCACACACATGGGCACCTCTTACCTGGGCATCTCCACCTAGGTGTCTTCCAGCGCAGCCCCATCCTAGCCCTGAGCCCTGACAGCTCTGTGGACRGGGCATGTCCCTGCCTTTTGAGCCTCAGGGGCTGATGCCCCCTCCTGACTTATTGTGAGGATCTGTCCAGACAGCAGAGGAGGTGGCCAGGGCCGAGGGTTCCTGGTGCCAGGTGCCACCCCACTCACTTTGTCCTGATCCAGTCTCGAGTAGGACCCCACATTCCGAGTATACAGGGAACCCCCCGGCACTGCTTCTTGCTCTCTCACTTCCAGAAGGATTGTGCCTGGAGAAGGAAGGCAGTGTTAGTGGCTGGCAGGATGGTGTCTGTCTAAACCACCCAGCGGGAGGAAGCACATCAGCCCTGTGCTCCCACTGAGTGAGCGTCAGTCTGAGCAGGTGTCCATGGCAGCCTGGCCAGCTGATTCCTGGGTCAGGGGCCAAGGAGTAGGACGGCAGAGACCTGAGCTCCGTGTGCTTGGGACATGGCTGCTTAGCCCTGGCCCTGGCCCTTCTGGGCTCTTCATAAGTTGCTGCAGGCCTGAGGGCCATTCCTGTTGTCTCTGTGGTGGAGATGGTCATCGATGAGCTGGGCTGAGCACCCTGGTGACAGCAGCTGGGGCTTCTGACCAGGAGAGAACCGTCCACCTGCTGGGCTGTGGCGTGGTCTGTCTGACCCCGCGTGGGTTGCTAACAGAAGGTCTCGGGCTGGTGCCCTTCCTGAGAGGTGGAGAACTTTCAACCTTCTCCGCCCCCAAGTGAGGCAGAGGACAGATCATCCTGGCACTTTGAAATCCAAGCCGGCTTGTTCTCTACTTGTCTGACCTTTTACCTGGGAGGAGATTTCAGGGAGAGGTGAGGACAGTGGAGGAGCTGGCCTGGGCTCCAGGTCACCCTGTGGGAGACGGCAGATGTCGGTGAGCGCTCTCAGGGAGCACTTGGCCCCTGGGAACTGACCAGGAGGTCTGACACAGGCAGGACACTGATGGCCCCAGGGAAGGCCCCAGGAGCCTGGTTGGATCCTGTGGGTCACCTGGTGCTTTTCACCTGGGCTTACACAGAGGTTCCCAAGAGATGTCTGGGTCTGGATATTACCACAGATTCTCACAGAAAGGGCTGCGAGGATGCCCCTCTCTGTTTGCTTCTGCTAAATCTGCATGTCAGATGTGCCTTGAAACAAGGACTCACTGCCCTGGGGAGTATGTGGGTGGGGGAGGAATGTTCCATGCCCCCACCACCACCCTGGCCGTGTCAGGCGGGCCCCTGGCATCCAACGTGCATCCCTGTCCCCTAGGTCCTGCTGGGCCATCCTCCTCCGTACACTGTGGATGTGGCTGCTCCGGTCCCTGCTGTGCCCCTGCCACCTGTTGTCCTCTCCCCGCCTCTGCCAGACGTGCTGCCACCTGCCGCCGCCCCCGAGCTCCTGCCTAAGTTCCCTAGCTCTTTGGCCCCCACCGTGGTGGCAGCCGCTCAGGGTGTGCCCACCCCGAGCGCCGCACTCCTGCCGCCAGCAAACCCGCCCCTGCCCACTGCGCCTGTGATTGCCGGCCCTTGCCCAGCCGTGCAGCTGACAGTGGAACCTGCCCAGGAGGTGTGTGCCTTAACTCCTGCTTGCAGCCACCCCCGGGCTGCACTGGGAACCTCAGCCCTGAGGTCAGTCCTGCCCGCAGCCCACCGCTCCCCGGAGGCGGAGTGTGGTCTGGGACAGCCAGACGTTCCCGTTCTGGCCTCTCTCACTTCCCATAAGCCCACATCGAGATGGAGAGCAGGAGTTTTGTAAATGGGTTTGGAGGACGCGTTCCCTGGGAGAGGATGTGAAGAAAGCTTTTACAAAACCCGTGTGTCCTCTTTCAGGAATGATCAAAGTGGGTTAACGGATGGGGAAAGGAGACAAGCCTCAGCTTTTTGGCATCTGCTAGGCTCCAGGCCTTTCAACCAGATGAAAACCTCCCTGTGTGGCAGCCCCCTGGCCACAGGCGGGCGAGAGGGGCTGAGGAGTGGGGAGGAAAGGACAGCATGGTGGGGGGGGGGGTGGAGGGGAGTGCGTGCCACCCGCGGGTCGGAGCTGTGACCCGTTCTCTTTCCTCTGTTTTTTATTTCAGGAGCAGGCCTCCCAGGACAAGCCGCCTGGCCTCCCGCAGAGCTGTGAGAGGTACCGGCCCAGAGGGGACGGGTCGGGGGTGTGGGCCCAGCGCTAGCTCAGCCCAGCCTCTGCTGCTGCTCCATGGGCCCTGACCCAGTTTGCCTCGGTGCCACCACCCTCTTTTCTAAACCTGGCCTGGCAGAGCTTCAGGGACCTCCTCTCGGGGTCTTTGTCAGCCCTGGCTGAAATCTGGTTGTTGGAGGCTCCCAGCTCTGTTTGGAGTCTGCTGGGAACATGGCCCTGGCCTGTGGGCCAGCAGGAGGAGGCTGTGGGTGGACAGGCCCTGGGGGACTTCCTGTGAACAGCAGAGTCCAGCCCCTTAGACCCTGGGTCTCCCAGACCGCCACCCCCTGTGTTCCTGGGGAGGCAGGCTGCTCTTCCTGAGGGTGCTCAGGAAGTGCCCGGGGCCCATCCTCTGAGGGTGCTGACGCTTCAGGGTCTTCACGCCAGCTCCAAGTGGCTGCTGTTTCCTGCACAGATGGGGAAACTGAGGCATGGGAACCAGTTCTTGGGTCAGGATGTTGAGAGGGCTGGAGGTCTTGCAGCCAGTGACTGTCAAGTCCACCCTTCTGCACGGAGGCTACCCGGGATGGACGCTGCAGGGTCCCCTCACAGGCAGCCGCTGTTTCTGCAGGTCCCAGCTTCAGGCCTGGAGGTTTTGAGGCCCCCAGGCTGGGCTGGCAGGAGCCCTGGCTTGTCACCCCTGGGTGCTGTTAACACTCTTGGTTCTTACTCAGCTATGGAGGCTCTGATGTCACTTCTGGAAAAGAGCTGAGTGACAGCTGTGAGGGCGCCTTTGGAGGGGGCAGGCTGGAGGGCAGGGCTGCCCGGAAACACCACCGCAGGTCCACGCGGGCTCGCTCCCGGCAGGAGAGGGCCAGCCGGCCCCGGCTTACCATCCTGAATGTGAGTGGCTGGGACCCCGGGCACGCGGGCGCGGCGTCCTCCGTGAGCTGACCCTCCGCTTCCTACAGGTGTGCAACACGGGGGACAAGATGGTGGAGTGTCAGCTGGAGACACACAACCATAAGATGGTGACCTTCAAGTTTGACTTGGACGGGGACGCGCCTGATGAGATCGCCACGTACATGGTGAGGGTGGGCCTGGGCAGCGAGGCCATGTCTGGGGGCACGTGCAGGGTCCAGTGGCTGAGCTTGGCCCTGTGTGGGGGTGTCACCCACCCCCAGTGCCTAGGGGCTGCCCCGGAGCGGTGAGGCTGTGGTGGGGAGCGCTGACCCCTGCACTGGGTTCTGTGGGCTCCTCCCCACACTGGGCAGAAGCCTCTGGGGACCAGCGGGCAGCTTGAAGGCTGTAACTCCCCAGGAGGGTGTCTCAACCCCTCAGCTGTCCCTCAGAAGAACAGGAGGAAATGGCAGGCAGGTGCCATGAATGAGCAAAGGGAAGCAGCACYCCAGCACCCCAGCACCTGTCACCCTCCCCGTGGAAGGGCCAGTCTCAGCCCTGCACCCCATTCGCGTTTCCCCAGCTACTGCAGGCACCTCCACCCAGAGACGCCCTCCCTGCCCAGGTGGACCACTCGTTGAGTACCTCATCCTCAGGGGCTTCACTTGTTCCCAAACCTTGCTCCCAAGGGATCCCACAGTGTCCTCAGCACCTGGCCCTATTAGAAATGGGGATCTTTGGCCCTTAGAAACTGTCCAGCGCACAAGGACACAGGCAAAAAGGACCCTCTTGTTTGCACCATGCTCACTGCCCCATGAGTGACCACCCCACAGGACAGTGTTCTTCCTAGAACATCACCGCCAGCGGGGAGCTTAGGAAGCCGTCAGCATTGGTGGCTGGTGCTGTGTCCACCCCCCCCACCAACACCCAGACGGCCACCACATACAGTGAGTGGGGCTAGCGTGACTAGGGAACAGAATATGAAATGCAATTTAATCCAGCGATGCCAATGGCCCACGTGGCCAGTGGCCGCTGCGTTCAACAAGCTGGCTCTGAAGGTCAGCAGAAAGCTTCCCCTTGGACCGCGTCCCAGCCGCTCCAGCCCCGGCTTCATTAAATTCTGATGTGGATTTCATGGGAAAGCCACAGCTGCTGGCTTTTGGGACAGTTCCACAGAGAGATCTCAGATAAGACCTTCCTGGAGCCCACGCCCAGGGCACAGTCCCCACGATGTTAAAGAAGAAATTGTTCAGCCCTTTGTTGAAATGCTGGGGAGGATTTTTGGAGACTGTTGCAATCGGGGAGAGAATATGTAGTCAGCTCTGAACCCAGCAGGGACAGCGAGAGTCACAGCCCAAGAACAGCGTGGGGGTCAGTGGACGGAAGATAACGGAGAGGAGACCTCAGGTGCCGAGCCCAGATGGATGGTCAGCTCAGGTCGTGGAGGACGCCAGGCAGCCCTGGCCTCTCACGTTCAGGATGGTCAGTGGGCCTGGCTGGCCCTCTCCTGCCGGAGTGGGTGTGTGAACCTGTGGTGGTATTTCTGGGCAGCTCCACCCTCCAGCCTGCTCCCTTTCAAGGTGCTTTGAAAGCCATCGCTCAGCTCTTCCTGGAAGTGACCTCAGAGCCTCTGTARAAACCCACTGCTGAACCCACTGAGTGGGGCCCTAGCTGAGGGCCACCCTCATGTCTGATGTCTGAGAGATGAAGAATTTGATCAGATGCATGGTGGCTGGTGGAGGGGAGGGTCCAAGGTGGCGACTGGCTACCGTGGGGCCAGGAGGGGTCTTGGTCAGCAGCCAGTGGCTGGTTCCTTTGTGTAGCCTAAGCAAACCCTGGTCTTCACCCTGCAGTCTAAACGGAAACCCCGAGACATCTCTGATCTGACTTTGTTTTCGAACCTGTGTCTCCTGTTACTCTGTGTGCATGTGTTCCTGTATCTCAAAGCATAATCATGAAGTGGACGCCTGTGAAGTGTCCCCTCGGCCTCTGAGCCTGTTCCTGTGGCCCTGCCCCCACCTTCCTTGCAGACGAGCGTTTGTTCACGTCCCCCACGGGGTCCCCGTCCAGGGACGACACAGTTCTTACTGAACTGTGAACACTGACAACTCTTTGGCTTCTCAGACCTGTTTTAACATGTGCTCACCATCCTGATTCTCCTCCCTCCTGTGGCTSTCTCTCCTGTACCGTGTGAAGGTTGGAACTGGGAGTTTTTAAGCCAGGTCATCTAAAGTCCCTTTACAAAGCAAGCGTGACATAAATACACAAATTTGGCCCCTCGGCCTGGCTGTCCACATGTAGCCTCTGCTGGGTGCCCACCGTGCTCTTCCTCACACCCTCCTGTCCCAGGGACAGAGGCGTCAGGGGGCTGGAGTGGAAGTCTGGCTGTTAGCTGGGGAACGCAGTGCTGTCCAGACAAGCTCCTCCCCACCCAGGGATGGGCCTCCTGAGTGTGGGGCACAAGGTTCCCTTGCTGGTGTGTTGAGCTGGGCCTTGGGCTCATGTTGTGACAGAGACCCCCCTGACACCCCGTGGTGAAGGGGAAATGTGGATGTTTGCTTTAAGTCAGCATCAATTCGCAGGTTATCCAAGGGCCCTCTATCTTTAGGGTTTTCTTGGTTTTGCTTTTGATTTATTTTAATCTCTTTGAAAATAAATTCATACCTAGCAGGAAAACACTAAGGGGCACTAGTTCAGGTCTGTGCCGAATTGGCACGCTGCAGATGTTCTCATGTGCAGCACCTGTGTCACAGCTGGATGCTCTAGCTGCCCATGGTGTGGCACCGTATGCTGTCCTCAGTGAACAGGTGAATGGGGAGGACAGCGTTGGCCTCCTCTGAGGGAGATGCCGGTGCTCCTGAGCCTGGTACGGGAGGGTGTGGGGAGGGTCAGAGGAACTCCGCTCTGCAGCCAGCTTATTATGGGAGGCAGATGGATCCAGCCCAGAAAGGAAGAACAGATGGCCTGGGCAGGGCCGAGGCATCTGGGTGACCGCAGAGGTGTGTGGGTAGGAGAAGGATCCGTGGCCTGAAGTGGGCAGGGATTGGACCCTGCTGGGAGAGGGAACAATCTGACCTCTTTCCCTGGAGCTGTGTGTACAACTCTCCGAGATGCACTATGTCCCATCTGCTTGAGTGGCCAAGGACACAGCAAAACAGGGTGTAAGCAGGGGTGCAGCATGCCCACGTGAGAGTTGGGGACAGTGACTGTCTTTCTCCACCAAGGTCTGAAGGCTGCGGTAGTGAGGCTGTGGTGTGGGACCTGCTGGCCACCCTTCTCTCTCCTACCAGAGGCCTGGGCTGTCCTTTCTGTCCCAGGTGCTGGCTGAAGGGTAGAGATCACATGTGTGAACCACATGGCCCTGAGAAGCCAGAGGGTGGTGCAAGATGAGGTCATCTTGTCTCAGCCCCAGACCAACAGGAGAAAGGCAGCTGGCTTGAATGGGCCTTGTGCTCTGGAGGAACGGCCACCTACCTGGACATCAGGGTCCATGGAGAGGCCATCGTGCAGGGGGTGCACCTTAGTGGAATCAGAGCAAGGCTGGGACCCAGTTATGTGCCCTGAGTAGTCTCTCTGTGGCCAACTTTGGGGACACCCTCTCTGGACTTTGGTCTGAGAAGAGTCTTGTGGCTGTGGGCACAGACCATGAGAAGGCCAGTCTCAGGTAGCTCTGGTGAAATACAGGCATGAGCTCAAGGACTGCCCAAGCCTGAGAAGGGTGGACGCCCAAGTGGAGAGGGAGAGGAGACAAACTCCCAGGGTCCCTGTCGAGGAAGCAGGGGACATCACCTAGTTGGGGGCCACCTGCTGATCACTCTTCTACCCCCACCTCCATGCCAAGTCCGAGGCTACAGGTCAGACACTGGGTCCGGGAGAGCAGGGGTTGCAGGCACAGAGAAGGGTGTGTGGACATCCTGTAGAGCTTTGCCAATCCTGCTGCTCAGCCTGTCTCCAAACCTGCCCACCAGCTGGAACCTGTACCTTCACATCTGCCTCCTTGTCTCTCATGGCCTGCCTGGTGCCCATGTCCAAATTGACCCCCCCACACACACACACCCTGGTCCCATTAATCCTGTGCACCTGCCAACTTTGAAGGTGACTGGATCAGCCTGGGGTTCCACGACTGGTTCTCACTCTGGGCATGGCAGTGCCAGACAGGCTTCTTCTCTAGGCTGAGCTGTCTTGTCACCCTGGGGCCATCTGCTCTCCTCACTGGGCTGGGCAGGGACGTGCCCCTTTGCCATGTCTTCCCCTGGCACCGAGAACAGAGTGGAGATCCATAGATCCCCCATCAGGCTCCAGGGCGCGGTCTGCGGCGGGTGGTTACGGCCACTGCGTGTGCCCTTGCAGGTGGAGCACGGCTTCATCCTGCCTGCTGAGCGGGAGACGTTCATCGAGCAGATGAAGGATGTCATGGACAAGGCAGAGGACATGCTCAGCGAGGACACAGATGCTGACCGTGGCTCTGATCCGGGGGCCAGCCCACCACACCTGGGCTCCTGTGGTCTGGCTGTGGGGGAGGTGAGAGCCTGCGTCCCCAGGAAGCAGTGGAGGGTGCTGTGGGGTGGGAGGGTGGACCCTGCAGTTCAGCGGGAAGCTCTGAAGGAAGTTCTCCCTGGACGCGGGCTGCRCTGACCTCTGATCCCTCTCCCTCATGCAGGAGAGTGGACAGTCCCAAGCAAATGCCCCTGTGTATCAGCAGAACGGTGAGTCTGCCCCCACCTCGGGCCACACCTGTCAGAGCAGATGAGCCTTGGGCCCTGGGAAGAGCCATTCCCTAGTGTCCCTGCCCCCTGCTCTATAGCAGGTGTTTGCTTTGAAGCTTCCAATGAGCATAGTGTCAGGGTCTTGGCATTGCAGCGGGGGTGGGGGTGGGAGTGTGTGGTGACAAGGGTCCCCCATCTGGGAGTGGCCAACCCCATCTGAAGTCTGTCACCTGTTGACTGGCATCACCACCTTCCCGGCCGATGCCACAGGCATCCCAGGAACTAAACATGAACCCAGGGCACTCCTGAGTCTCGGGTTGGCCGCCCATCTCCCACCCCTCTGGGTGAGAGAGGATATAGAAGTCCCTCCTCAGGRCCTCTTTTTCAAGGGGACTGGGGACCGTCTGTGTCATGGAGGGAGGCTCTTTTGGACTATGACTGGGAACTTGGGCTCYCTGCCCGTGCCCTTCTGAGTAAATCCTGTGGGTGCAAAAGTTCTGTGGAGCCCCTGTGGCGGTCCAGTGTGGCCGAGGTGTCACCTGGTCTCAGCATGCTGTTCATGTTCTGTTTCTCAGTCTTGCACACGGGGAAGAGGTGGTTTATTATCTGTCCAGTGGCTGAGCACCCAGCAGCTGATGCCCCCGAATCGTCACCCCCACTTCCTCTAAGCTCCCTGCAGCCAGAAGCCAGCCAAGGTAGGAGCAGCCACAACCCCCACCCTGGCATCCCTCCCCTGGGATCCCTCCCCTGGTAACCCACAGGCTTTCTTCTGCACATCCCTTCACTGGTGTGCACTGGGCACCCAGCACCATGCGAGGGGCCTTCCACACTGTCACCCCAAACTTAGGGCAGCTTACCGGGCTGTTTTCCCTATCCATCCCTGTTTTCTACTGGATCAGCTAAGCCTAAGCTTGAACCTGCCCTGTTATCTCCACCACCGCACAGGTGAGGCACAGGTGAGGTGCAGGTGAGGCTCAGGTGAGGTGCAGGTGAGGTGCAGGTGAGGCTGTGCCACGTGCTGATGGGCTCTGCCCTGCCTCTCTCTGTGCTGCCTCGTGACCTTTGCACCCTTCCTGTTTCATGGGGAAAACACACCCTGGGGTCCTGCTTGGCAAGGAGTGTTAGGTGGGAAAGGCCCTTTTATTTCTGAGCCTGATTCCCAGTGGTCCCCATGGATGGCGATCACTGTGGTGGATCTGCCTACAGAGGACAGTAAGTTTGCCCTCGGGCTATGGGGGAAATCTTGATTTTTAGGGTCCTTTGGAAAAACAAAACTAGTCATTTAAGCCAGTTTAAGATTCCCTATCACTTGGCCAAAAGATAATGGCTAAAACTTAACCCACCATTATGGTACATTGATACCTGTTGTGTTTCCAGTGCTTTCCATTGTACCTTTGGAGATTTGTTACCACCAGGAAAAAGTCAGCTTAATAGAAAACCCCAAAAGAAGCCAGGCCCTGAGATGGGGTGCGGTCTGGTCATGGGAACTGAGAAGTCAGGGTCCAACAGCCTTATTTGAAAGACTCCCTTTTAAAAGGGGAATTTGACTCTTGACTGTACTGTGCACACTCCCAGGTGAAAGAAAAGCCCCTAAAAATAAATTTCAGTGCAGCATAGGGGTCAAGGGATCAAGGGATAGTGTGGTGTAAAGTCAAGGGAGAGTGTGGGTAGGGTCAAGGGACATTGTGAATAGAGCATTGTGATGTGGGGTCAAGAGACAGTGTGGTATAGGGTCAAGGGACATTGTGATGTGGGGGTCAAAGGACAGAGTGGTGTAGGGTCAAGGGTCATTGTGGTATGGGGTCAAGGGACAGCATGCTATAGGGTCAGGGGACATTGTGATGTGGGGTCAAAGGTCAGCGAGGTGTGGGGTTGAGAGCCCAGAGTTCAACCGTCGTCCTTCATGTGCATACTGAGAGGTGGACCTCTGGAAATCTTTCCGAGTCAGGGTATCTATTAAGACGGGAAAAGTGAGTGACGTGTGTGGATCTGGATCAAACATCCACTGAAGATGACCAAAGAAGTTTGACAGGTTATGAGAATCACCTGCTCAAGGGCACTGGAAATCTGAATAGAGGGCAGTCACCAGGCTGGGGTCAGCAGAGGCAGAGAACGAGGACAAGGCCCTTTTCCCTGGAGCATGTCCCATCCACAGGAGAGGCTGAGCACAGCTTCAGCTGCCCCATGGCCAGACAGAGTGCAGGGCCCATGGTGGCCCTGCAGAAGCTGTGCACCAGAGCGCAGGGCCCAATGGAGGAGGCAGGGCTGCAGAGGGAGGAGCCCAGGCAGGACATTTTGGCCCCTCATCAGGAGATCCCAGTGCTGTGTGCTCGGGCAGGAGCACAGAAGTCCTTTCTGAGGGAGAAAATATCATTTTGGATTTCAAATGACTTGCACAGACAATTTTTTAGAGTATAATATCTGGCACATAGTAAAAAAAAATAACTAGGCAGAGAAACTGGGCTCTGGGTCAGATGGGGCAAGCACACACACCAGCCATTGTCACTACTGAGCTGAGCTATGAGTCCTGGACAGACATGATCCAGCTCTCTGAGCACTCGGGGAAACGTTAGCAACAGGAAGATGGGGCATGACCAGGATTCAGGTACCACTGAGACTGCTGAGAGTTTAGCACATTTCCCTTCAGTATGTCCCAACCTGCACCTAACCTTCAGGCCAGAGTTGAGCTCTGTCGTACCAAAGAGAGCTCCCAGGGACACCCTCAAGTTGCAGCTCAGAGAACTGGAAAGGGACTTCCTAAAGCTCAGGAGGGAATTCCCCCACCCCCACTTTTTCTTTTCCCCTCTTCTCTTGTACCAGTCCCTGGATCAGTCTATGGCGTGGCAGCAGGTGGAACCATGTCAGGGTCTAATTAGTGTATAAGAATTTTGAGAACTAAATCAATAGATAAACCTACCTATGTTCCAGACTGGCCCTGAGATGACACAAACCAGTTTCAGATAAGATGAGTCCAGCAAAAGCCCTGATAGCTGAACCAGGGCARGCTGCAACTTGCAGTCTGCACTTAACCAGGTCATTTGCCTACTAAAGCAAAAATATCAACATTTAGCATAGGATTCAACCATGACTCAAGGTTTCATAATATCCTTCAAGATGTTCAGAATCGAATCCAAAATTATTTGGGAAGTGAAAAATCATGAAAATGTCAACTCAGATGGAAAAAGCCAACACATCCAATAAGAAGAAGACATGGATGAGGGAATGATCTGACAACGACTTAAAGCAGCTATTATAAATATGCCTGAACAAGCAATCACAAACATTCTTGAAACAAATGTTAAAGTAGGAAGTATCAGCAGAGAAATAGAAAATACAAAGAAGAAACAAATGGAAGTTTTAATGCTGAAATTAAAAACACCTAAAATCATCCAACTGGAAGATAGAAAAAGTGAACAGTTTCAAGGACCTGTGAATCTACAACAAAGGGTCTAGTGTTTGTGTCAGATTTCTAGAAGGAGGGGAGATAAGAATGCCAAAAAAAAACATTTGAAGATATAATGCTGAAAACTTCCCAACTTTGGTGAAAGGCATAAACGTGGAGATTSAAGAAGCTAAGCACACTCTAATCAGGTTAAAACAAAGAAATATGTGCCTGTACACATTGCTGAAAACCAAAGCTGCCCCCCACCCCACTGCCAAAACAAAACAAAACAATAACAACAACAAAATAGCAAAAGCAGCCAGAAAAAAAAAATGATGCACTACCTAGAAGAGACAGGAATTCAAATCACTGCAGATTTCTCACCAGAAACCATGGAGTCCAGCAGGAAGCAGGACGACGTTTAGAACGTATCGAAAGAAAAGAACTGACAATCCAGAATTCCGTTTTCAGGGAAAATGCCTTTTAGATGTACAAATGAAATAATGCCATTCTCAAAGAAAATGAAGAGAACTTGCAGCCAGTACCCCTGCTCCAAAAGAATTATTAAAGATCTTTAGACACAAGGGAATTGATTCCAGAAAGTAACTTAGAACATTAGGACTGAACCAAGATCATATTGGACGGATATAATAATCTATTCTTCTCTTGAATTCTGTAGAATATTGCTGGCCAAAAAAAMAAAACWAAACTAAAAATAAACATATCTAACAGTTGAAAGAAAAAAAGATTGTAATGTCTGAGGAGTTTTCAACGTTTGTAGATATAGTATATTAACATAATTATGATAAGGTGGATACAGTGACCTGTACATTTGTGATGTTTCTCCATTCCCATTGAAGTGATAAGGTGCTGGTTCTAAGTAGAACTGAAAAGTTAAGTATGTGTTCTGGAACTCCTAGAACAATCATTCAAAGAATTGTCTGAAATTATTGTAGATGAATTCAGATGAATTTTTTTAAACAATCAAATAACCACAAAGAAGGGGAGAAAGAGAAAAAGAGAAAGAAACAGAGTATCAAAAAYGAAATCTAACAGAACAGGGGGCCATCCAGTAAACAAACAAAATGGCAGATCTTCATCTAAATATACCAATAACAAAAGGTAAAAAGTTCTCTCATGCCGGGCATGGTGGCACATGCCTATAATCTCAGCAACTTGAGAGGCCAAAGCAGGAGGATTCCAAGTTCAAGGCTAGCCTGGGCAATTTGTGAGACCCTGTCTTACATACGTGAAGCCCTGGGTTTAGTTACTAGTATTGGCGGGGGCGTGGGGGGGGGCCAAAAGTCTTACCATATGAATTAAAAGACAGATTATGAGAATGATTAAAAAACCCAACAACTTGCACTGGGGTGGTGGTTTAGTGGTGGAGTGCCTAGCATGCATGAGGCACTGGATTCGATCCTCAGCATCACATAAATGTAGAATAAAGATATTGTGTCCACCTAAAATTAAAAAACCAAACAACTTGACCTAAGTGTATGCTATCTATTAGAAACTTCTAATAAATTATTTAGATAGGTTAAAAGGAGGATGTTAAACAACAGACTGTGCAAATCCTTCTCCAAAGAATGCCGGAGTAGCTGTTTTTATTTCCGACACAATATACTTCAGAGAAAAGAGATGATATTATGTATTCATAAGGTGATCAATTCATATAGTAAAGTCTTAAGTATATGTGCACCTAATAACAGAGCTTCAAAACTAACAAGTAAAAGCAGAAACAGACAAATCCATAACTATTCTTGGAGACTTCAACACCTCTCTCTCAGTAATAGATGAAACAGAAAGAAAGTCAGCGAGGATATAGAAGATCTGAACAACACCACCAACCATCTTGACCTAACTAACACACTGAAAATAACAGAATATACTTTATTTTCTAGTACATGTAGAGCAATCACCCTATCTTGAATTGTGAAACAAAACCTGACAAATTTAAGTATAATTGATATTATACCAGATACAGTCTCTGATAATAATGAAGAATTAAATAACACTTATAAATTATCTGTGGGTGAAAGAAATAGTCTCAAGTATTTAGAAATATTTTTGAGTGAATATGAAAATATACCATCATCCAAACATTTAAAAAAGATATGTTACTAATGGTACAAAATCTTTTCCAAAAAATACATGAAGAAGGAACATTTTCCAAATCATTTTAAGAGGCTAGCATTACCCTGATTTAAAACCAGACAAAGGCAGTACCAAAAGAGAGAGCAATAGACCAATATCTATCATGAACATAAAGGGGAAATTTTCTCAATAAAACTTTAGAGAGTCAAATCCGGC